TATGCATGGGTGGCCTACCATCAGAGGAAGTTAGTTTGCGGGGGTGGTCCTTGTTTAAAATGGACCGTGTTTTTACTGTTTTCTTAAACCCTGCAGCGACCCCTCTGACATGTCCAGTTTAGTCATGTGTCCATGGTTCATGATTACCTCTGGTTGCTTGGTTTAAAAAAAACAAACTTGTGTTTTAGTAGAAAAAAAAAATCTTCGTCATGCATAAGAAAATTTGGAAGTTGTGTGTTTAGTTGTCAGTTTCAATAGTTCCTTTTCTCATAGTGGCTTGTTGGATTTTCAGATTGATAAATATGCAGATTTTTGCAGACAATGTGCAAAGATATTTGTTTGTGAATGCTAGGTGCAGTGGTGCGCTTGATTTGATATCAATGTGTGTTTATTTCTTGATTTGCCAAAAAATACAGTATTTTTATCTACCAACGTGGAGCTCTGCAGAAAAAGTTTGGGAAAGGCGCAGTACGGCGTTTAAAACCAAGCATACATGATAACTGGACCTCTGCAGCTGTATTTCTGTTGTCATTGAATCAGTGTTCTTGAAAACTGTTGACAGAGTTTAGACCATCTGAATCCGACTGTGCACCAGAAGGAGTCAGTGCTGACAGAAACCCTCTGTTTCCACAGGGATGCTTCTTCAGGCACCGGGTTACATGTTTCAAACTGCTTGGTAAAAACTCTAATGAGGTTTCCTTTGTGTGATTTCATGGACGGTCTTTTGTTCCAAGGAGGTTTAAAAGCACAGTTACGTAACACAAACTGCAGCTTACCCAACACGTCTTTCTAGGAAATAAGGGGGGAAAAATCCGCTACACTTGGACTTTTTTTGAGTAACTTTAAATCAGAGCGTCTGCCAGATAGCGGGTCATCCACTGTGAAATATTCACAGACAAACTTTATGTTTATTTATGTCTCTGCAAACACACCTCTGTCCATCCCTGTGTGCATGATGTAGCCTGTCGTGCCACAGCAGGATTAAAGTATCCTTCTCCCCAGACTGGCTCTTCCCTCGGCCCCTGTGGACCCCTCCCACACTCTATTTGTTTTAATTAAAAGAAAACTTCCAGCCTCAGCCAGGCGAAGCTGACTGACGAGGATTTTTTTCTTCCTCTTTTCTCTGGCGTTCTGCTCCCAAATCTCTGGCCAAACCATTTTTCCTTTTTCTCTCTGTTTCTCTTTTCATGTTTCTCAGTTGGTCCTTCGCTCCTCTGGGGTTTGAATCCTGCAGAAAAGGGGGGATGCATTTCTTCTGTGTAGGAATGTGGAGTTAAAGGAGCCTGTTTGACAAAATGGGATGAGAAAGTGTCCTATGTGCAGCCGGCCAAGAGGGAAATTGAATCATTCCGGGTTGGGAAGGCTCGTCAGGGAATAGCCCTGTTTCCTCTGAGTTGTGGCTTGGACAGTTTCATAGGCTTAGCTGAGCTCCCCGGAGGAAGGTGTGTGAGTGCATGAGTATGCTTCAGAGTGTGTGTGTGTGTGTGTATGAATGTTTGTGTTAGCAAGCAGTTTTCATGTGCATCTGTACACTGCTAGGTGTCCCGATACAAAGCGCACATTGTAGGTTGTGTCAAAGAGTAGCAAAGCTCCGGGTGAGTGGGTGGAGGATTGCATCTGCAGCGTTATTTTCTATTGTGTCAGCAGCTTGAGTTTGTTCCCCACCTCTCGGAGTGATCCAACACCGGGCTGTGGTCCACATTCAAAAGTGATCCTTTAAACCAGGAGGGAACCGCATTAGTTCAAGTGATCTCTCTGCCATGTTTTGAAGCCGTGTGCTCGAACACCTGTCACTCACATTCGTAGAAATGCATATCCAGCCTCACCCATTATATTAAGAAATGTCATGGGACACTAAATGCACTTAGCTGATGTTCCCAGTATGCAAACTGTGAGCTGTGTGCCAATAGTCTTAGTGCGCCGCAGCAGCAGATTCAGCGTCTTAAATAATGCCAGAGATCGAACTCCTGACAAGTGTGCAGTATTTCTGCTTTACTCTTGTAAAATAAGTGATGTGACGTCATTTTCTCTCTGTTTCAGCTGGACCCCATTCCTGACGAGGTGCTGCAGCAGAGACCGAACGCTAACGCTGTCCGCTCTATGGAGAAAGTGATTGAAGTTCAAGGTGTGAATAGTTAACACAGACAAGAGTGCATTAATATCTTTGTGATAAATCTTTAAAGCCAAAAAATATACAGGATCTGTGTTGAGCGTGTTCAGTATTTGCTCCGTAGCAGCAGCGTAGTGCTGCCCCGGTCAGCTGAGCTCAGTATAGAGGAAACAACACGCTCACAACAGGTTGTTTTTGGTTGATTTCCTGCTAATTTGGATATAATTTAGTGACTGTTGAGCCTCTACTGTATGTGAAAAAGCAGCATGATTTTACAGTTTCAGTTTTTACAGGTTTACTCGTGTTTAATAAAGTAAACTATGTTCCTTTATGCTGTCCTGTTACCTTCAGAGTTAGCAGTTCAAAGTCCTGTTGGGGTCCATATGGATCCGGGATTGACCATCTGATTGTTCTGTTACTAATAAATCCATAACCAGGAAGTATTTCTCATCTACACAAACTGATGGTATTTTATTTTGAAATACTGGATGACATGCACATTTTTCGTGCTTGAAATCCTGTCTAGAACAATCTTTCCTGTGTATATTGACACGTGTTGGAAGCGTAGAGCAGCAAAAATAGACTTGCCGTGTATCTTTAGCAAAGCCGTGCTCGATACGCTTCTGATACGGAGCTGATACGGAGCTGATACGCGTCCTGTATGTTTTAGCTTTAACTCTCAGGACTGTTGGCCCAAACTGTACAGGAACTGACTCTCCTCTGCCCTTGTCTTTCGTAGGTAAATACTGGCGCTCGCTGCAACGCTCAACCCCCACACTCGGTTGCTCGTTGAGTGAAGTTCTCCGGCGTGACGCAGACGAAGCTGAAACCGTCTCCGCCATGGCCTCACTGTCTGTCGCCAACAAGCACATTGGAAAGAGGTACAAGAATCTGTCTTAGAGTGGTATTTATAAGAAGAGGTGAAAGTTGATGCGCATTTAATAGAAAAAGTCAGCTGTAGTTTAGCTGAATGATTAAATCCCTTTTATTTGCATTACTTTTTAGTATAACAAGAAAGCTTATTTGATGCCACTTGCAAAACGTCAATCAGCAGACAAACCCAGAAACAAGCTGATGAATAGAAGTCACAGAAATGTTGATAAAGCAAAATGTTTTGATAGGTTTGACTACCACATGCTTGAAATGATTTGATTTCTATTTTTAAATCTCAGTATCAAAATGTATCAAAGTTTATGAAAAAAGCAGATTTTTATTCATATATCAAACCCGAGCATGTCCACAGGGGGCGCCAAAACTGGCACAAACAAAAAGTTCCTGACAGGAGCTTTAAAAGACATAATAACTGCACCAGAAGTGAGTGATAATGAGACAGAGTTAATGGTGTTTTCTGTTGTCCAGGGCTGAAGAAGAACCAATGGAGGAGGACACTACCATGTAAAGAAACGTCTCGACCCTCCGACCACTCAGACCAGTCTTCACTTCTTTGACAGTGTCCTCGACGACACTCCTGCAGAAAGTCTCACCCCGCCACCTCAGAGCGACCTCTGTGTTTGTCTGTGTGTGTGTGTGAGATCAAACAAAACACACAAAGTAAAGCGAACACTGAAAATGAACGACATATTGGCTGATCAGCAGTGCACAGACTGATCGGCGTATGTGTTTCTTCAACACTTTGTAAAGACGAGGACTGACTCAACCATCCAACCAACAATGACAACCTAGAGTGCCAGTGCTTTTGAAACACTAGACAGTGTGTTATTTTTCAATGCCAGTCAGAACCATACTCAGACTCTGTCTGTAGACACCTTTATTTCTTATCAGTCCGTTCTGTCTGTGTGTTTACCTTCATCAAAAAAAACCACCAGAGCTGACGCGATTGTGACTCTGCACTACAGATGACTTCTCTGATCCCGACGAAGCGAACAAAAGAGTCCACACGTTTTCTCCAAGATTACCGAAAGGAAAAGTCAGCAGGTGTCCTAATCCCACGGAGATCGACAGTGAGAGACTGTGTCTGTGCCTTTTTCTCCCCGAACCTGACGGATCCTGATGAACTCTACTCAAAGAGCTTTGCCTTAAAAAACAGGTTTGGGAACGAGGCCTCTTCTCCCTGACCTCCCAGATATTTTTTACCCTGGCGAGACATCCGATGCCTGCATGTTGTTGGCACATACACTGGAGGACCTTGGCGTGTTTACCTAAACCTTTCTGCAAGAAGCCTTCTGCCTCGCCCTCTTTTTCATCTTCCCCTCTATCCCTCGTTTTTTGATCTCGGCTAAGAAGGTTACTCCCAGACAAAAAGTTGGAGGTGGTTCATGTATTCACCGACCCACTTTTGGTAGATGAATTTCAAGCCCCTAACCAAAAAAGTACCGGATTGCAACAGCTATAATTTGTCGAGCACTAGATTCACTGGCAGTCCCTGCAGAACTTTCACCAAACTGGCCCTGCTTTGCAGAAATAAGTGGATTGTTTTTATTCAGGGTTGCTAAGCCCCTCCCACTGTGACTCCAGGTCTCTTCCTCTAGATCCTGTCCCTCACTTTGGGGATCACTGATTTAAAGGAAGCTAAAGATTTATTGCCTTTGGTGCAAAAATGTTTCAGTGATTATCTCTTTGTTTGGGATTTATTTTATTTGGATGCTTCAGACCAACAACCACAGGATGCCAAACTTAATATAGTTGGAAACATCTAGAAAACAAGTACACTACTCACTGATGTAACTTTTAATAAAAGTGGACTCAGTACAAATTAGACTGGACAACTGAAGTGCAAGTAAACACCTTAGTCCGACTGTAATCGGAATTTGAGAACTCTGATTGGAGTTGAAGAACTGCGATTGACACCCAGATAATACGTTTGGAATTCGATTTTTCTCTACCATGTAACCAGCGTAGTCGGAGTATGATCGGACAGTGCATGTGCGTGTGTGGCATGCCCCCGTAACCCTGGAACAAAAACACCAGAGAAGAAATAGTAGCGCATATCATGTACGACAAAAACAACGCTGTACGATGCTCCATCTTCTTGCTCAAAAATGCCCAGCAGCAGTTGTAGACACTTCTGACGTCTTACACGGACTTGCTGTTGTTGTTAACAGTTGTATGGGGTTAACTGAAAACAGCCCCGCTAAAAAGACCCATATCGCCCCCTAATTTTGGGGAGGAGGACACATGCACATCAGTAATTCGATTTTCTGAGCTGCATGTTTACGCGCACAGGGAGAGAAGTCTGATTTGGCGAAAACACAGAATTATGAGCTTATTCTGGTTACGCTGTGCATGTAAACGCACTGACTGTCAGAGCTCCAAACACATCAGTACAGATCAGGTGGGTGTCAACTTTCCTAAAGAGCAGATCCTAAACCCGCCTCCCGTGTTCACCATGTTTTAATTAGACAGCAAAGAAGCAAAAGTCGGATGAAACTTCAGTCCAACCTGCTGGATGTCTGCATCTGAATCAGTCCCATGTTTTGCAGAGTAATGACACACAGACAGAAATTAGTCTCATATGGACCAATTTGTCGAACCAGCCCTCTCTTTAGGACAACTGTGTCTCCGTGGTAACAATGACCGTACCACCTGGGATTTTCCAGAGGGTTGTTCCAGGGCCGCACAGACTCTCACAGCTGGTTTAACATCTTTGGCCTCTTGTTAAGCACATCTGCTGCCCAAATGTAAGGTGCTGCGAGGCAGGTGTGTGCACATCTGCTCTCATACAGTGCAGCTCATGCTGCTCTTTATAAATAATCAAGTGTATACACATATTTTTAGAGTTACTCTTCTGTCTTAGTCATCCTTTTGTCTTGACCACTTATACAACCAGTGGACTCTGGATGTTTGCAGCGTTGCAGTTCAGAAATCTGCTTCACAAGTCTGAATCCGTTTAAAACACAGACTTCATAGAACAGAGACAACATCACTGGGCATGCACAGAAGCTACCTGACTGGTAGCATCCCAAGACTGATGTCACTCCGGGGATGCTAACCAAAACACACATTAAACTTACCAATAAAACGCAGAAGATCCCTCAGGTCGATGACAGCAGGACAGATTCTTGTGTTGATTTGAAGCAGACACTCACAGTTGTGGAAAGTTCAGTGAGTCTTGTGTTCGTTTTTTGCAGTTCCCCTTCTGATCTGCTTACCTAGTAAAGAACACGGCAGAATTTGTGAACAGAGCTGTCAATCATGAAGTCACACCCCCCTTATTAAAATCAGAAAACTGGTTTAAATCAGAAAAGTAAGAACTTTAGCATAACCACGCATAGTGAGAACTTACTTTTTTATGTGTTTCAGTTTCTAGTTTGACCTCTGTTCCATCTGTTAACATTAAGGAGGCGGGGCTTATCTTATACACTGCAGCCAGTCAGCAGGGGTAGCTCCATATCTTTAGGCTTCACAGTCGGTGAACACGTTTGGTGTCTGTTCTGGGATTGAAATATCTTAATATTTAAAAGGACTTTCACAATGATTGGTTAAACAACACTCAAGTTCGGTTTAATTTGATTTAGTCAGTTTTTGGAGTTGTTACTTTAAATATGATCACTGAGAATACGCTAAAAATTCATTTCCAGTCCTTCACTTTTCCTCCAACTTGTGTTTTCCCCCTTGGAATCTGCTTTCTTTCACCCTTAATCGAACCATGCTGAAAGTATCTATCAGTGAACAGGAGAGCGGTGATATTTACTGTTGTTTACTGTAAATATATGACAACAATCCCCCGGAGTATTCCTGCCACTCACGTTTGTCAAAGACTACTCTTGATCACCGTTTTCTCGCTCATCTGCACCTTTTTCTAAACCTGCCCCCCTTTCATGGACTCCAGTGACGACTTCTTGTACATTTGACTGTGTTTTCATGTTAATTCGTTCACTTCTCCCTCTCTTTTTTGCTCTGTTACATTGTAAAGCTGACAAACTTCACCACAGGTGAGGGATCAGACCCTGTTTTATGGACTTTTTCTGGTTTTGGGGTTGTTGTGGGAGGGCTGGGATTCAAATGTTTTTACTTTGTACATTGATGGACAATTGTGTATTTACTGTATGTTCATAGTAGATTTATATATAAAAAGAAATGAGTATATTATATACAACTATACATAATGAAATATTATGATCTTGTTTTTGAAGATGGTAATGAAAACGATACTTTTCATGGATCTTACATACAGTCTTCTCTTTTTAGGGTGTCGCTGAAGGCACCGTGCGCTGTCTCGGTTACTGTTTGTTACATGTTTAATGACGGTCTTTCTCTCTTCACATAACTGCTGACTCGCTTTAGGCTTTTCTCAGCCTGTCGGTATCACAGTACATGTGCCATCGTCCTCATCTTCATGCATTTTGACATTCCAGAGATGATTTTAATTCCATGTTTGTTCATTTTATTGTTAAAAAAACACTAATTTTGGCATGAGCCTTTAAAATTTAAGCCACAGAAGGACATGTGTGACTAAAATTCAAAGTCTTAATACTGAATATCACTAAAATAACCAAAGTGGAGACCTGTTTCTTCCTCTCTACAGGGTTTACAAGTTCATCCTCTTAAAACAACAGAAAGCAGGAGGGGTAGAAACACGGTCTTACATTAAATCACTCTTATTGGCTCTGAAATTATTTTACAATATCATCACTTATACCCTTATCTAGCTAAATGGTCTTAGTTTTAATTAAAATCAACATTCCCTCAAATAAATCTAGCTCTTATTTTTAATATCGCTCATCAAGCGAGAGCTGCCCCTGTGTTTCAGGGTGGCCTGTTTCCAGTGAGACGGCTCTTTATCCAGCAGAGTTCGGGGTTTTTTGATCCCTGCAGCACCTCAGACAAAATCCAAACTCTACTCTTGCACTATGAACAACTTTTAGGTATGTTTTACCAGAATGAGCTAAAAGTTTTTTACAGACTTTTAAAGCTTTTTTAAGAAATCAGACTGAATGTATCTGACCTCTACTGACAGAGCGATGCTGCACGTCCCTGAATCGCCTCCCGGAGTCTTTGCAAACTCTCAGCAGGACGTGTAGATGATCCATGTTTGCAGCCATATAAAGGGGATTTTTCTCCAAGTACCTGAGACAAAACCGAGCTCTGTGCATTTGTATACGATCACTGTTTGGCGTTGTCTTATTTAGTTTAGTTCATCCATGCGGTCGTTTATTTTTCTGTACATTCCCACCAGACGCCTACAGAGTCGGCACTTTGTCCTGCATGTTCTGTAGCGTACGTGTGATCCGTTTCCAGGCGTACAGATGTATTTGTGGTTGGAATATGAACATGTGTACAGTCAGGCTAACCTGGACGTTACCTTTACATGGATACGCTGACATTTCTCTGCATGTAAACACACTTGATGAGATGCGCTTTAGTAACCGAGCCCAGACCATTCCCAGAACTTTTCGCTCAGCGGTGCCAGTCATGGAGTCTCAACTTCTGAATACTTTGGTTTCTCAAAAGCAGCCAACAACAGCACCATCTGGCTTCTCCGGCTGTCTGTCCTCACTGTTAGTCTTCACACAATGTCCAGTAAGAAAAAAAAAAAACATTCCATTAAGTTATAATTTCCATTTATTAACAGAGGGCATATCTTTTTGTTTGAGCTCTCAGAGTTCGTTCCAGCCAGGTCCGAGAACTCTCTGTTTATTTAGGTGGCCTGGTCCGACTCCACTCCATCCCCCCTTTCCTCTCTGCATGATCTGCGTGTCTGCATGCACTGCCTATCTGTCCGTTTGTCTGTCTGTCCCGTACCACAAAAACAGCACAAGGGATCGAGCACTGAAGGACTTTAGTACTTTCACTGTATCCAAACTGTCTCCTCTCTTTTCCTGCTTTCTGTCTCTGCTGGGGAGTCTGGAGGTTTTCATGTTCTTCTACCTGTAGGATAAGGAATCATCGAACCCGGTGGTTGATTTTGTTTTTTTTACGAAAATGGGGAAGACATATCTAGCACTTGTAACACAGACAATAGATTTTATGTATTTATGTAGAAAACGAGTTGTTCTAGGGGGACGCTTTGTAAAGTGCGACAAAAGAATGGACTGACTTTTCTTCACGCCAGGCGAGATGTGACTTTGGCGGACTGTTTTTTCTGTTCTTCGTCACATCTGGACTTCTCAAAGGGCTCCATCCAGACGCCTGGTCTTTGCTACGGTTGTCCATTCCACTAAATAAGCCAGTTATTGCTATGACCACTGTGGTTCAAAAACAAACAGTTCTAGGTTTACATATATGTATAAAATGCATATTCTTTTTTTATGGGTTATGTTTTTGACTTGTTCCACCATTGTTACAGAAATAGTACATTTTTCTGGGGAACCTTTGCTCTAACATGTTGTCTTTGACATCTACAATATAAAGTATTGTTTTGGAAAAACTGAAGCGTCTGGTCATTTTGTGAGGAGTTCTGGTCGACGGTTTTGATTGCAGAAAACAAGACTCACACTTTTGGTGTGATCATGAGATGATGGTGCAGGATGTGTGCGTGTCGTCGCTATGGCTACCCAAGACTTGAATCATCATTCTGGGAAACCATACTCATATTTTTTTCTATCAAACCTCCACACTCGTGTATTTTTAGCAGCATTGTTTACGCAATGAAATAGGAAAGCAACCACATGGCAGGTGGGGGACTCCTCAGACCTCTGTGGGGGTATTTCGCTGGAAATTTTCATTACTGGGAGAGTTGTGTAAAACTAGTCTTATGCCAACTAGTTATTTTCCATCAGAAATGAGATGAATTAATCATTGTTACTTGGGAAAGTAATGTTAAAGCTCCTGTGAGGAACTTTTTTGTTGTGTCAGATTTGGCACTGCCCCTGGACAACAAGTGATGCAGAATTTTCTGCAAAAAAACAACTGAAGGTCCTTTCACACCAGGACTGTTTTTGTCATGCGATTATTTTGGACGTCAATATTTTTTTTTGAGCCCGTATCCTGTCAATACAAGCGTTCACATAAGCGACGTCATCCTGTTTCTCATACTGTGTGTCCACTTCTGACCAATCAGATGTCATGTTGTTGCGACATCAGATTCACCGGTATATCCAACATGGCCGACCAGCTTATTGTTTACATGTCGGAGAACAGAGTGATTTTTAATAAAAGACACAAATATTACAAAGATAACGACCTGAAGGACAACTTGTGGAGAGTCATAGCGTCGGATTTCTCATATGACGATGGTTTGTGTGTTTTAACAGTTTGATAAACGTCTTTGTTTTAACTTTTATCTGTGCTAAGTAACTTTAGCTCGTAAGCTAACCTGTTCAGATACAACATGCCACATGTATTTTCACTGTCTCAAACTCAGTCACAGTATTGCTGTCACAGCACCATTAGGTCTCAGTTGTTGCTCCGACTCAGTACATGCTATCATGACAGACAGACATCTCATTACTAGAGTCTAATCAGAACTGAAAACAGTCAGTCTGCTGTTGTAACAGTCGTCTCGCTTCCACCCGGGATGCTTGATATGTATATTCAGGTGCGTCAAAATTCGCCTCCAAATATTTCGTAATTTTACATTGTATATTTGCGTCGTTCCCGGTGTGTAAGGACCTTTACTCTGCTTCCCTCTAGTCAATGCATTACTACTGTTGTTCAATTTTCCATTTAACAACTGGGAAGTAAGTCACTTCAGAGCAGCCTGAGTTATAAGCATAACAATTACAGTTGTAGAGGTGTTGTCCGTCTTTTTGATGAGGGTCTTACCCTGCAGTCGGCGAGTTCAGTCCTTCCTGTGATACATGTCATGAAGGTAGTGAGAAATTAATAAAGTCTTGGCTATTTGGACGGAGTGGGCCCCCATTGGTGAGTAAAGGTGAGCTGCACCAAGTCACTGGTGTCTTCACTGCATGGCCCTCTGCCTTAGGAACAGTCTGTTGTTGTGTTTGGTGCTTTTTAAGATCAGAATAACAAGTCTTAGCTGTAAAAAAAAGTTGCCCTCCTTCTACAAAGACAACAATTTATCACTATGCTCTTGTAAGCTGATATTTCCAACACAGAAAAGCTTATTGATGAACTACTGTGCGCAGTATTCTTTCTCCAGAGGTGCCAGAACATCATCTCAACCCCCAAGGCAGTTGATTAATCCTATGCAAGTGTTGGCAATTGACTTAGATTTGACATTATTTAATGAAAAGCAAGTCCTTTAAATTTCTGTAATTGTAACGGCCTTATTTAATTTAAAAAAGTGACTGGACATCTGACTATGTACCTCAAATAGTGGAGTTAAAATCAAGCAATACTTGATACTCAGACAACTGGTTATAAAACAGACCAGAATCACTCTTTATGATCTATAAATAGAAAATAAATATGATCAACATGAATGCTCTCTTTTTAACTTTTAATGCCTGAAGTTGCTGCCAAATTGCAGTAACAGCCCTTTTTTGCATATTTAGTGTTGGGAATTCTGGATGTGACACTTTTGAGTGTTGGGGCAGCAGGAAAAAAACATCCGCAGATGGATGAGAGCCGCTGGTTTATCCACATTAGGTCGACAAAATCAACACAAAGCAGAAAGTTTCTCACAGGAACTTTTAAGAGAGTCTTTGTTCGACCTGGAGCCGAATTATCCCCAGAGGTCTCCTCCCCTCTCAAAGACACAGAATCAATGAGGTGCAAATTCTCTAGGAAACACTTTTCACATTAAATATCTGTTTCCCAACGCTCCCCAACTCATTTTGCTGTCTACAAGATAACTGAAGTAACGCCAGAGGTTCTGCTCACTCCAAACAAAGCAGGAGAAATTGTAAAAACGTAAGAATCAGTGGCTTCAGGAGACGGAAACAACCCATTTATCCATCAAGTTTTCACTCTCAAACACGTCTATTAATACAAAGTCTTTGCACACAACAACCACAGTCACTTAGTAGAAACTTTGGCAATGCAACTTGGTGGCCTAATTATTATATTCAGGTGATTTTAAACACTTTTCAGCATACTTTAAAATATTATACTCCATTTTTACCAAGTCTGCTCTGCTAAATAGTCCAAAATTGAGCGGACCAATCAAATTAGACTAAGAAAAGTCCTGACCTCTGCCCAAAACACAATAAACAGTCCCGTATTTCATTCAACTATTTCATTTCACTGCTGACGAGTTATCATTTTGCGGTACCAGCCAATAACTCCTTCTCTCAGAAATTAGAAGCAGGCTCTATATCTCAGTAAGCCTCCTTAATTCAGATGCCAGATTTCAGGTCTTCATCCCCATAGAGGAGATAACTCTTGAGGAAATTAGTCCTACATGGACTTTTTTCCAGCGGAGCCTCAAAAAGCCTCATAAAACTGTCTTCCTGTACGCTCGGTCCTCCCTCAGAGCTGTTATCAGGCGATGTGTTATATTGGAAAAATTCTCCTGTAAGTCCAGAGGGAGGCAGCATTGCTGGAACAACAACAAAGGCCCCCACAGTAGCCGTGACTGGGATTAGCCACCCATTTGGAGGGGGTCAAAGGTCTGAGCCAGTGTCCAAATAAACAGCAGTGAATCCTTGTTGGTGGAGGAACTAACGCTAAGACAACAGTCCGAAGGCAAACAAAGCCAATCCTGCCTTACCTCCTCTCAAATAAACACACATTCCTCTGCGGACTCTTAATTTAGAGAGTAACAGTGTAAATACTGACACGGCCGCGGGCTTTGTCGGCTCGTCACAGTCTCTGTAAATCACGGAGGTTTGTGACACCGTGTAGTGGCGACGGCAAACAAAGAGGAGCACGTCTCTGCTTTCTGACAATATTTACTGTCATACTGCTGCTGAAAAGAGCTCTAAGGAGTCCAGTGACGCTAGATCTGGGAATGTGACCTTTTCGTGGTTCGTCAGTGGCTGGAGGTTCTCGTACGACCACACTCGTGACACGCAGACTGCCCGTCTTACCTTTAACTTACCGTAGGCGTCGACACGTTCGTCAACTCCCGTAACCTCTCAGCGAGGTCGGGTCGGAGAAGAGGTGGAGCCCTGCTTGCTGAACTCTCCCCTCTTCTTGAAACCAAGCCAGCAAAGATGGCCGCCTCTCCGCCACAACAAAGGCCTGAAATGTCAGTACGGATGGAAATCCAGGAAAACCCCCTTATATATATCTTCCCTCTCATTTCCCCGCAGTGACATTCTGGTGTGCGGTAGCTCTCCCTCGCTGTGCTCATCCTCTCGCAGCGTCGGCCGTTGTCAGTTTGCTCTGTCATTACCCGCCACCGCTATACGTAAAAAGAGGCCTTATCCTCCCCAGCTGTGCTCATCACTGCGCTTTTAATTGCAGGTTTGCCGGCTGGAAATGGCAATGAGGCTTTGGCCAGCTGCTAAGAAGACAAACAAGAACTAATTACAGATGAGTCATTAGAATCAGTTTTGGACCGTCATCACTCAGGCTTAAAAATGTGGTTTGTTACAGATCTGCGACAAACACGGACGTGATGATGGGGGACGATAAAGGTGTCCCTGACAAGTCAAAGTCGAGGAAACTATTCTGGCTTATTTTTAATACAAACTGCTTCTACGTGGTGAAATTTCATTATTAAATCTTCATTTTCTTTTGGAAAAACAATGGAAATGCTCTTGAGAGAGTGTTTTATTACCCCCACCAAGGAGGTTATGTTTTCGGTAGCGTTGTTTGTTTGTTTGTTTGTTTGTTAGCAACTTTACAGAGAAAGTAACAGATGGATTGACCTGAAATTTTCACCAGAGGTGCGTCTCAGCCCCAGGAGGATCCCATTACATTTTGGTGGTGATCCGGACAAAATTCTGGAATGGGCAGCACAGTGGTGTAGATAGGTTGCACAGTGGTGTAGTGGTTAGCACTGTCACCTCACAACCAGAAGGTTCTGGGTTCAAATCCTGGACAGGGCATTTCTTGTTTAAGGGGCGACATGAGCTGCTTGGTGGAAGTTTTTCGCTCTCAGAGAGCTTTTCTAGTTTGTTTGTTTGTGAGTTTGTTTGTTTGTTTGTCTGTTAACAACTTTACGGAGAAAGTAACAGACAGATTGACCTGAAATTTTCACCAGAGATGTGTCTCAGCCCCAGGAGGATCCCATTACATTTTGGTGGTGATCCAGACAAAATTCTGGATACTGTGATCCAGAACACACAAAAATAAGGGTGTCGTTGGAATTTTCAATGCTGAAAGATAAGTAATGGGCGGCACAGTGGTGTAGATAGGTGGTACAGTGGTGTAGTGGTTAGCACTGTCACCTCACAGCCAGAAGGTCCTGGGTTTGAATCCCTGTCAGGGCATTTCTTGTTTTATGAACAGTGAACATACCAGTTTAAACACAAATAAACGTTAATAAAAGACACGTAACAGTAAAAGTTTTGCTGTGAATCACAATATAAGGGGGGACACTCTCCGAGTGCTTTTCTGGTTTGTTACAGATCTGCGACAAACACGTATTGGATGATGTGGGACCATTAAGGTGTCCCTGAAAAGTCAAAGTCGAGGAAACTTCTTTGGCTTATTCTTGATAAAAGCTGCTTCTACATGTTGAAATTTCATGATTAAATCTTCGTTTTCTTTTGGAAAAACAATGGAAATGCTCATGAGAGAGCGCTTTCTTTTCCACCTGATGTTCCACCAATCCAGTCGGGATTTCCATTGTGTATTTGAAAAGCTGTGCTGCGTTTGCTTGTCTTGCTACTGTATGTGTTTAGTCTGCTGTCGGACGTGTTCGGACACCGAGAGGTCAAATACACGCAACGCCGAAAGGAGCTGTAACACTAACATTGGGTCACTGTCGGCTTCGGCGTCAGTGAGAGTCTCATCCAGCCAATTTGAAGAAAACGGAAAAAAATCTGAATTTATTGAAATGAAAAGCCAGATCAAACCTGGAGGAAGAAGAGGACAGAGATTAAAGAGACACTAGCTCTGAATTTCCCGTAAAACCTCAGCTTTACTGGTAAAGAAAACATATGCTTAACTTATGCTAAAAACCAACTCTCGAACATTACCACACTGAACACTTAATGGTAGTCCCAAAACCAACACGACCAGAAGTTTCCAAAATATGGTCTATTTGTAGAGCTCCATAGATGTAAATCCGTCATACTTATGCATATACACAGAGTAGAGGAAACACTGGTCTATATCAGAGGAGCTGTAACTCCGTTTGATGGCTGCATTAGGGGACGTAGTTACATCTGCATCCCTACAAGAGCAAGAGTGAAAACAAGGGTGTATAAATAAGCGTTGACCCCTGAACTGGCATGATCTTTGACCTCTGCTGACCCGGCAGTCATCATTGATGCTAATGAAGAGCAAAGCAGGAGGTAAAAGCTGGCATGTCAGAACCCCCCCCCCCCCAGTCTCCTTCACCGACTGCAGACGAATCAGATTTCACAGCCAAAAGTGAGGCAGTTACTGGCTTTGGGATGTAAATAACAGAGTAAAAATACAGGAGAGGATGTCGAGGGAGGTGTAGGCATGCCCACACATTCCTGCATGTTGATTGGCTCGGGGCCACGGCGAGGTCATTCTTTATTTTGATCATAAAACTGCGTTTCCCCCCCCTTGAGATCCTGCAGAAAGCATCTTTAACAGGGCCTGACTCACCTTGAGTTTCCTGTTGATAGATGTGCTGTATGAGGGGTGAAATGAACCATAATCACTATATTTTGTTTGTGTATAAATACGATCAAGAGTGGTTTTAATGACGTCTTTTAGCATGCCCCTCAACTGACCCGATTCAGAAAGCTGTAATTATTGTTTGGCCGACATTTATCAACCCTGAAGCTAATTTTTTCCAACTCTGCGGACGTTAAGATGTTATGATTATTGCCAACGTCTTTCCAGTCTGCATCCTTTTCAAACCCCCAAAATAACGCTAAAGGGGACAGACACATCAGCGGGTGAGAGCAGGGACGGGTGAAGAAAACACAGAATGAAGCCGCTCTATAATATTGTTATTGTCCAGAGCAGTCGGTCCACACTTGTGTGTTTGTGTGTGTGTGTGTAAGATGGGACCAGATGGACACAAGACAATGCCAGAAGAGGAGATATGCTATAAGAATCAGAGTGAGGGGCCAAGTTCCACATAAAACACTAAGATTTATTCAGCGCTGAAACATTCCTGTACATACTCTCAAAAACTGTTAATTTGATGTCTGTGTTCACCTTGCAGGGCTAGTTGTGCAGAGAGTGGATTGTTTTTTGGGGTATTTGTTTGTTTGTTTGCTTGTTTGTTTGCGATGGTTACAGCGTAATGTCAGGGGAGCGTCCAAACTTCTTTGACTGGTGAGTGGACTTTCACACAAACACACAAATAAACTGCATTTTTTCTCCATTATTCATATCTACTCTCAGTACTAACATGTAAGTATCAAAGAGATGATGTTTTATGAGTATGTGTTTTAACTTAAAAAGAGTCAAAAAGATGTTTTTTAAGATACTTTTCAATGTTTTTTTTCTGCACTGTGAGCATGCACTGTTATGTCTCAGGGTCTGGTTTATGCTCCTGCATCAAATTAACACAGTAAAATACTTCATAGGTGCATGTGTCCCTGATCTGGTATCTCTGCAAAAGGTACCAGGGCGCTATGATTGGTCTACTTGGTGGCCCACATATCCAGTATCGCTGTCCTCTGCTTCAGCGTCTGCATAGTCCATCTCTTCAATGTCTCTTTTCTTCTCTAGAATAATTACAGTGTGATCGACTGCTGCAAAACATCTGTCAGCTATGACTCAAACACATTACGCTCAGATTTAGTCACCATGGTTCCCTGTGCACCAACAAGGGGGACCAGAAAGTGCACTGCTGACTAACACTGAAGCAGGGAACTACAGTGCAACACTGACACTCCAACGCTCCAGTGTGTGCATGTGCCACGATGGCATATATGTGGCGCAAAAGCAGATGCTGGCAAAAGTATTTTTCTGGCAACTGAGACTTCTAGTATTAAGGTCCTTTCACACTGGGACCATTTTTTTCGTGTCATTTTTTCGGACGTCAATATTTTTTTTCGAACCCGTATCCTGTCAATACAAGCGTTCACATCAGCGACGTTTTCCCGTCCTGTGATATTGCGGTATTTATTTTTTCGGATCACGGTCGATTTTTCCAAAGTTTTGCATACTGTGTGTCCACTTCTGACCAATCAGATTACATGTTGTTGCGACGTCAGATTCACCGGTATATCCAACATGGCCGACTGTCTGATTGTTTACGTGTCGGAGAACAGAGTGCTTTTTGGTAAAAGACACAAATATTACAAAGATATCGACCTGAAGGACAACTTGTGGAGAGTCATAGTGTCAGATTTCTCATTTGACGATTGTTTGTGTGCTTTAACAGTTTTCTAAACTTCTTTGTTTTAACTTTCATCTGTGCTAAGTAACTTTAGCTCGTAAGCTAACCTGTTCAGATACAACATACCATATGTATTTTCACTGTCTCAAACTCAATCATGTTGCTGTCACAGCACCATTAGGTCTCGGTTGTTACCTTTCACTTATGGATTATAGTTTAATGTGTTTATCTGGTACTGGCCCTGACTCAGTACATGCTATCATGACAGACAGACATCTCAACACTAGTGTCTAATCAGAACTGAAAAACACTCAGTCTGCTGTTGTGTCAGTCTTCTCACTTCCACCCGGGACGCATTTTTTTTCCCCACAGAAAGTCACAAACTTAGTCACAAAGTCACACACAGCAACTATAATATAAGTTATGGGACTGGCACCGTGGGCCTGTGCCACCCATGGTCACCTCTCTGGACACACCCCTGCCCTCATGAGAAAGCAGTATCTTTGAACCATTAAATGCTTAACTGATTTAAAATTGTCGCCATAGCAGCGCTGGTTCAGCTCAGTTAGTAGAGTAGGTGCTACAAGAACTGCAGATACAGACCTTGTCAGACTAATTAGGAGTGATCCTTGGTACTGAAGTGATTTGGTGCACATCATTCCTCATGTTTTCTATTCCTCTCAGTGTGTCCTATCAAAAATAAAAATGCAAAAAGCTTCCAAAAGTAAAAAAATCTTCATTTTGAAAAATGCAGCACATCATTAAACACCTACCTTACAACTCTAGTCTCCTATATTTAAAATAACACCAATAACACTGAAGTTCGTGATACTCATTTGCTTTTGTATGTCATAGTGAGTCATCCACATTCAATCCAGTCTGTTTCATAACCACCTAAAAGCTCCACAAAGGGGCTGATGGAATGCATTTTTGAACAAACCACTCCCCTATATCAATCGAAGCATAAGGAAATCCCTTAATGTCTGCACAGCCCGTCGTAAAACACACCGTATTTAACATCTATATTTCTGCTGAGGATTTGTGAGCAAACAGGAACATATTTCACCCCCGCGATCTCTCTGCACGCCAGGAGTGAGAGTGATTGTCTGTGATGATTTTACGACAGTGATCTCATACAAGAAGATTAAAAAAAAACATGACAACAGTATTAAATTAAAAATAGATAATATGACAAATAAAAATAAAAGTATATTCGTCTTTATCTGAATGTTTTAACTGGATTATTCTGCAGTGAAACAAGGCAGTTTTTACTACGCCCCGATGTTTGAAGCATGGATGCTTTTACAGCTATTTTCCTGTCCAATTTCACTCCCCCAGCTCGACCAGAGACCCCTGATGGGTCATGATGAAGCGGGGGAGGTTTACACCAACAGTAGCATTCAGTGATTTAATAAAAAAGGGGTCAAATGATCATGCGATGTTATAAAATAAGGAGATAAATCGAAGGAGAGAGGGCAGAATGTATGTCCACACATGGGGAGTTCCTCTTTCACAGCACTAGTGTCTTCACTGCGGGGAGGACAGAGGGGTCAAGCTGTTCAACAGGTGTGTGGACGATGAGCTCTACAGCGTCCAACAAAGGGAATATCATGAAGTTTGCATGTTATGTAAAGCCTCTCCACAGTTGTAATGGTTGTTTTCGCCATTCACCTCCGAGTCAAAAAGTCATCAAACTCACATCAGACTGACGGAGGATGTTTGTGACTCGGATGGATTGACTTCAATCATCCAACCACTTTGTTTACTTTGATCTATTATTGCTCCTTAAATGTGTGTGATCATCCTCTCCAGAGAAATGGAGTCTTAGGAGGAAAAAAGAAAAAAAAAAAAGCAGCGCTGTGCAGCCCCGAGGCCTGATGATAATGTGATGTGGGCCTTCTGTGCAGGATCAAAGTCTTAGGGACTCTGATTAAAAGATGGAATGAAGGAAAGGCAGAGAGGAGCTGAAGAGAAAGGCCAGAACCTCTGTTAAGTCCTTTTCAGCTTGGACTGCTGAAGCTCTGCCAGGTCCCTCTGACCTACTCCAGGCATCTCACTCATCCTTCACTATGTGAGGTTTTGTCAGGCGGCCGGATCGCTCTTTTAAAGACTGATCGCTGGTGCATCTTAAACTCTTCAGATGGTTTGTTTAGAGGGCTGCACAAATGAGGAATAAGATTGATGTTTTTAATTTGTTTTAATGAGTGAAAATGGAGTTAAAATAGCGGTTTTTGTAGGTCCTTCATTGGTCGATGAAAACGCCCCCTTTTACTGCACCATATCGACACATGATGCACTCACAAATTATCTAAAAATATGGAATTGCAGCTTCAAATGTAACATCTAACTTCAACCACTTTGGCAAAGAAAGCAGTTTTTAATCATAAATTATACATGCACACCTATTTTCCCGAGCTTATGTACTCCTGATGTTGTGTTTTGTTAGGCACAGAGGTTCATCACAGATTTAAAACAGTAATTTGTTGGTTGGTCTTCTTTGTCAGCACATAGACTCAAACTCTTGAATATTTAGGTCTATACTTCCTTCAGACCTTTGACCCCCACAATTTTTAGCAAGTGACAATAGCAGAGATTCACAACCCACACTTTCAGATCATGAGAGCAAAACAAAATGAAACAACCTGAACTTATTTTACAGACAAACAAAACTGAATAATAAACAAGTGAGTCTCTGTGGATCTTCTGTGACTTTTATCTCAGTTTAAAGCCAAAGACGTTGATTTTCATGGTTTAAATAATTCACAAAAACAGAGAATGAGTTTAAATATTCACCAAAACCTTTCAGTTTTTTATAGGCGGCAAAAACACCAACTTTGGAAACCAGCGTCTTAACCCACATCTGACTCAGGATCTTATAATCTTCAGTCCCAGAGACGTGTCTCACTGTCTGTTTCAAAGGTCAGGGGGAAAAAAGCATCGAAGTTTGCAGCTCCGTTTACTGGAAACAAAAGGAGCTGAAGCTAAATGAGGCGTTCTCTTTGGGTGATTTTTAGATGATGCAAAACAAATTGGAGGCGAACACATCTGGCTGTAGGTAATCTTGTGATTTTGGTTGATTCGGACAAACAGATGCTGCTTCATTTCACTGTGTAATGTATTTAAATGCATTCTAGACGTTAGGAGGAGATTTTTGTTCATCTTAGTTAGTTTTAACCTGGGAAATAGATGTTAAACTGATGTAGAAATAAGCAGATAGTTTGTTTTATTGAATGATCCTACACGCCACATAATCCGAGCGAGGATCAATACATTTGTTGATGTTAAAGTCTGAGTAATGTCTTCTCTATTGTCTCTGTTGTGGCAGGAGACACAGCTGACTTTCAGCTTTGCCAAAACACACACACACACACTTGCACACACACTCATAGGGAAGTCTCAGAGTGGCACAAGCTAACCTTCAGATTTTCCTTTTTTTACTGAACCAGACGAACACAGAATACCGTTTGAGGCTCTCAGAGTGTAAACCTTTACTTTATTCCCTTTTTACTGCAAATTAAAGTTTTGTAGCTTTTTCCGTCTGATTTTACGGGAAACATCTGGATCTCTCGCACCGCTGGAGCAGTGGCCCCCGGGTGATTGTGCTCTGCTCAGCTGTGAGGGCCCGGGATAATGAGCAGGTATCAAACAGGCTCCTACGGATAAGCCGGCCCGGGGAGGAAGTTCTGTCCAGCAGCATCTGAGACCACCAAAAAATCAAAACTTCTTCATCGTCATCGTGCGATAATGAAAAAGTTTATAGGTTTGGTAACAGAGATCATACTCCTGTTTATTTTTATTACTCAGTTCAGTGTATTCAGCATGTGTAATGTCCTGATTTGTCCTGGTGGGCTTCATGTAGGAGGGCTGTGTCATTCCAAAAGCGGCTTAATTCACATTAGTCACAGAGATCACGGTGTCACACAGATAAATCACTCACTCTGAATAATCTGCACACAAAAAAAGACTCTTTCTTTTCGCTCTTTGCTCTGCAGCCACAACAAGATTTGATGTCAAAATCCACAAAAGAAGAAAAGAGGACATATTATCATGACACAGGCCCTCTGCAAATTACATGAAAGCAACATGAAGCGTGTTTAAGGTGGAAAATGTTAGTTTGATGCATCAGCAGCATGTGGTCCCAGGTGTTTCCCCCCTCAAACCGCTCTGACCATGAGAAAACCAGGCAACACTACAAACACTGTGAAAACGTTCAAGAGTTGCTTTTGTCTGCAGGAAACAATCACTGTGCTATCCGCCTTTTATTACACCCTGTGTGTGTGTGTGTGATTTTATTCTGCATTACGGCTTCCCCTCTGGGATTTGTCTGAATGTGCTCAGAGTGTGACACTTTCTGGCCTACGTCCACGTTAAAAATGACCCTTATGCTTTATTTTCTGCAGAGAAAGTGTAAGTGTGGTGTTTGTTTTGCTGCTTGTGAAATGATAAAGCTGCAGATTTATACAGCAGACCTGCACAGAGGAAGTTAAGTAGGCCTGTGTTAACAAAGAGCCCCTTTCAGTGTGTTTAGATTGCATCTAACCACGTCTGGGAAAACGAGATGTAAACAATTTTAATGTTTAAGAGCGAGAGGGGGAGCTTCAAAGGCATTTTTAGTGGTCTAGTTTTCTCTAAAAGTGCCGGCGGAGGGATACAGTCCTTATCTGCTCTCGCTGGGGCTCCCTGCTCGTTAAAGAGCCTGAAGGCATCGCCATTTGAAATGATTACTCCTTATTTAAGTGGACAAGAATTTTATATACCGAGCTTGAAACTGGTTAGTATTTCCTGCTCTGTTAATGAAGCTGCATTTTATGGTCGTTTTTTTAAGTCTTTCCATAACAAGAGGAGGGGAATGAAAGGAGTAAATTCTCACACCCAGAGGAGGAGAAAAAAAAAAGCTTTTGGCACGTTTCTTTTGAGGCACCAGAGGAACCTGAACATCCAGACCACAGTGTTTGACTCTGGCTTTAAAACTTGAACTTTCATTAACATCTTATTAGGCAGGAATGCACCGAAAACTCGCATGAATTGGACAAATTTTACAGGAATTAGAGATTAAATGTTACGGGTAAAAAAAAAATCAACCAAATTTCGTTCAAAAATATGTGTTTTAATAAATAAAGCAAAAACAAAATGTACAATGGACGGAGTTTGGAGACTTGCTAAAGAAAGTCGGAGAAATAGATCCATGCAGCAAATGTCTGGAGATTGCATTGGTCCCTTTACAGGCTACAGGCGTACTTACACATGTATGTACAATATGCATTCATTTATATATAAATTTATACTTTGGTTTAAAGTCTTTTCAAAACAAAATATATCTCCTTCTATTCAATGTTGGCTTAGGCCGAGCTATTCGACTTTATACATTACAGCTCTGTGTGTCTTCCCTCCTCTCTGCCACAAACAGCTCCGGACAGTCAGAAGCAGTGGGATGAATCTCCATCCACACACACACAAACACAAACACACACACACTTCCTAAGAGTTTGTAGTTGTGGGTCACATTACGTCTCTCTGCCATGCCTTTGAGGTCGATGGGTTCTTCAATAATCCCTTTGGTCTTCATAAATCGTAAAAGTAAACAGTCTGTAACAGAAAGAGAGAGATACACACACAAACATCGTTAGAAAACGTCTTGGCAAAAGCAGAGAAATAAGAGGATATAACTTTACGCACACTGATCCTGGCTCGGTTCGTGACGGTAGGCTACATGTGATGTTTTTGAAACCTTCACTGGCTCACTTCACATGTGGGAAGTCATTAATGAATCAATTATTAGCCACTGAGCTGAGTGAAACCATATGGCGACAGAAAATGCACGAGCATCGTGTTTAATGTGAATGTAGTTCTGCAGCTGCACTAAAACACACTTTCACACACACACAAAAGAAAACACCGTTTCTCGGGCTTTTATTTTGGAGCACCTGAGTAAAGTCACGCGTTTTCATTTGGCTGTGGATTAGAGGAGAGTCCTGAAACAATAAAATGTAATTCCTCGGAGCGGCATTAAACCCAGAGTCATTACAGAAATATGGAGTCACTCAGGTCAAGATCTATAAAGCACATTTTACAGGCCTGTTTGTGAGTATGAATAATATCCCCCTTGTGATTTTTTTTATTTACCCAATCCACGCAAAAAATAACTCACATTTGCTCCTTTGGAACCGAGTGTTTCTTTTTAAAGTGTGTTTTTTTTTATTTGTAACCCTGTTTGAAACGCTACACTCGTCACGCTTTGTTTCTCTTTATGGGTCTACATTCCTCAGAGGTCAATTACACTCGGAATTATTTTGAGGAAATAAAACACCTTCAAATTAAAAGAGTTTCAGAGTAATGAGGCTTATTTATCTCCTATGTGTTTTGCACTTTGAGGCCTCGGGCATGGACTAAGCAAACCCCGATTCTGCTCATTTAGTGCCACCTTGTTTGAACCCTTCTGAACTTCCACTGAGGTTAATGAGAGGATTCGTCTAATTCATCAAGATGGCGTCAACATAATTCCTTAAAAACAGAATGACCTCTTGAAGTCAAAGCTTTAATTTATATCTCTGTTGACAAAATGAGGGTTACTTTCCCTTTATTAATCCAAGACAGAAATCAAATATATGACAGCTTTCCGAGTCTTCTCCACTTTTTTGCGCAATGAGCTGCAAATCTGCAAAATATCCTGACCAAACCCTGTCCGCTTGTTAATACGGGCCTCAGTTTTTATTGTCACGGGCTGGCTTGAACTTTTCATGTCCAGTCGAGCTGCCCATTCCTGCGGTCTGCGCACAGGAAAGCTCTCTATTGTGGATATAAATTACCCGTGGTGGCATTACAGCTGCGTTTTGGTGGGTTTTTTTTCCCTTTTACCCCAGTCATTATGAAATGTTGTTAAAAGAGAACGTATAAAAACTAACTGTGAGAGTCACAAGTGGTTGATTTCATGTGTTTCTGATCAGAAAATAGAACAGAGTTGTCATTTTTGGTTAACGAGGCTTATAAAGGCCTCGCGTGTGAAAAGCTTCCAAAACTATTATTGTGTTAATCCGCCTACTTCCCCGCGCCTGATCCCTTTCTCTTAAAATAAAGACAACATTTCTTTTTCCACATCCTGAGCTGAACTTACGCCTTTTGGATTTTGACAGGATGATTCACTAACTTTTACAATTAAACTTAAAAGATCAGCAGGGCCTTGCGCACAGCTGCATCCAGATAGGGACGCACAGCCAAGGCGTTGGAGAGATGCTGAGGCCTCGGTGTGAAATCTGTCATGCACACATGAAGTGCTCACGCCACAGGGTGCCTTTGGATAAATTTCAATTCGATTCACTCCCGATCAGAAATATCGTTTTTAATTTAATCGGTTTCTGCCGATCAGAAATATCGTTTTTAATTTAATCGGTTTCTTATATTGACCGGGTTGTCTAAATTATGAGCGTCAAAAACATCAGGCTGAGTTTCATCCCTCAGATCATAGACACGTGGTCAGAGTGCCGGTACATTACCACTAGAATTTGACAGAAATATCACTCAGATAATCAATAAATTACTGCTGGGAATAAATGATTTAAGAGATCAATATAGGCTATACTTCGCAGATTTATAAACAAGTTCAGGATTATTGAGGTTTACGCATTTTGTTTTCTGTAAATGAAGTTTTCCTCTATCTGCAAACACCAATGTAGGGTTTCTAGACTAATTTTTGGTACCCACCGCTTTGGCATTGTAAGTGGAGCTCTCTGGGTGCTAGTGAGATGCTGACATAGACCAGGCACCCTCCATCCTCCACACGGAAAAGGCGTAACTGAGTCTTTCGTGCGCAACGTAGCTGCAGCTGGACATCTTGTTGTCCATCTCGTCGCTCTGCAACACCTGACACAGAAAGTCAATGTATCTGGAGGCGAGTTTCAGCGTCTGTATCTTGCTCAGTTTGTCCGAAGGCAGCGTGGGGATAATTTTACGCAAAGACGCGAAGGCCTCGTTCAGAGACTGAGTCCGTTGCCTCTCCCGGACGTTGGCCAGGACGCGCTGGTTCTGCAGCTCCTCGTAAGACTGGGTGCTGCTCGGACTCGGTTTCTTCCCCCGTTTGACCGGCCCGGGGCTGCTGCCGCTGCTGTCCTCGCAGGACTTTTTGCTGTGTCTCCTCTTCCTCGCGAAACGCTTCTGCTGCCTGTCCAGCTCCTCCTCGCTGGTCACCAGACTATCCACAGGGGAGACCGGAGAACTGGAGCCCTCTTCCATTTCTTTCTTGAAGAAATGCAGGGATAGAGCGGAGAAAACGTTGTCCACCTTTGAAGCCGTGGTTACAAAAAAAAATGTGTAGAAATCCGAAAAAGATGAGGAGAAGAATTTTTGTGGGGACGCCTCACTCTCTCTGTGCTTCAAACTCTTTTTAAAAACAGGAGGTTGGCACGCTTCTCCTCGTGCAGGAAGTTTTGTCCTTAAATTTTTTTGGAAACTTTATCCCGCTTTCAGATGCTAAATAGTTTTGAGAGTGGAAGGGGAGGGGTCTGGAGGGCGGAGGGGGAGCTAGTGCGCGTCCGGGTCCGTTAATAAGCAGGAGGGACCAGTCATGGTTTCATATGACTGGAAACAAGGCTCTTATAAACTCACTGTCAAACTACAGAACCCTGGATTTCTCTCTAAATGCGCAGGATCCAACTATCTATTTTCCCTTCATTTTTCTAATATTATGCCACAATTATAAGAATATAAATTAAGGGTAAAGAGATTGTCAATTGTCCTCTTGATGACTGGTACAACTTTGATACATTAACATGATTATTCCAGCTGATAATCCAACCTCTATCAAACAACCAGAGCTTTTGGATGTGAAAGAAAGGCTGTTGCATTGAAGTAGAACATCACCCTGAAGAATTCAACTTAATATGAAAGCATACAGATCATCCACTCTCAGCAGGACTTCGTCAATCCTCCCTAAACAATAAATACAGTTTTCCTTTCTCAGTGTGGAGTTTTTGCTCCGTGGAGGTCGATTTACGCACACTTTTCATCGGCCTTCAGAAAACCTATCCGCTTGATCTTTAATCGAATCAAGTGTGTACACTCTCACAGCTCCTATAATGTGGAAGCCAAACAGGAAGGAGACTTAAACCAACCGAGGAGCCTCTCCGGTTTCTGCAGATACTATACCTCCACAAACGGACGAGTCCCCTCCATGCGTTTTGTCAGCGGCCCACCTCTTCATCTGTCATGTCATGTTTTCCTGCTCAGAGAGAGAGAGAGAGAGAGGCGCACAGGTGGCTCACATTATAGAGCTGAATTTATCCTCTGCCAGAACGCAAGGTTTGTCCAAATCAGCTGACTGAACTCTGGAGATTTCTATACTGTTGTGGAGCTTTATTTGCAGAAAGAAAATGGCAAAACCTGAAAACCTTAAAATTCTTAAATTACAAAACAAATACAAGTTCCTGGTTGATTCTGTCTTATTTTAAACAGGTTACATTTATTCTAAAATATGAAGCTGCTTCTTTTCAGACATGACTGCTGTGTGTCTTAAGAGAAGGAGTCTGAGGTTGGCTTCATTACCCATGAAACACAATATTGAATTAAATCCTTAAAGAAACAAAGCTTCATTTGTTAATGTGAGCCTGTCATTAATCAAATTGTTCTGAATAATTGTCTCTTATTAGGAGGTAATTTAGCACATTTACATTGCAGCGTACACTTAAGTTCGCTGTGAAAATAATCACGCTGCAGTATCTCTGGTGCTTGTGCCCATGTTTTCAATGTTCGACATGTCCAGGGAGACTGCTCTCTGTAAATGGAGCAGAACCATGTACCTCCTGATGGTTGCACAACATTGTTTAAAGGCCATGAGCCCCAGCTTGGTACTGAGACATATCCTGGTTTTCCCTTGAAAGCCCCCCTGGCCCACAGGAAACCCTGCTCTGCTTTGCATTTTGGGTTCCTTTAGTAATAGTGACTGTCACACTACTTTCACTCGGTGCCAGAGCTCTTTACTCAGACCCTGGAACGTCTCAGCGCAGGTCTAATGTGGTTACATTTCGCCGGTCTGGTCCTTACACCCCCCTTTAATATAAAGCAGGTAATGTTTCACACATGCAAATATGAAAGTAACACTGAAATATGTGCATGTATGCAGAGCATGAAAGACAGAACATGCACAAGCAGGAGCACACAAACACACACACACACGCTTTCCCTGATTGTGCCCTCTGACCTCGTGCTCCCCGGCTCAGCTGCAGGAGGCCTCTGTGCCCAGGGGAGAAGGTTCTGACTTGCAGAGTGGGAGGCTGATCCTGCACAGCGTCTGGGAGCTACAGGCTGTACATGCACACACTTTTCTGACTGTGTGCATACATGGTGTAATGATATAAATCATGCAGACTTAGATCAAAAAGAATGATGGTAAATGCAGCTAACTAAGTTGTTAAATGAACTCTGTTTCTATTTATTTAGATCAATGTTGGGGAAGTTACTCCAAAAAAGTAATTCGTTACTTATTACTCATTACTTCTGAAAAATGCAATGAAATTACTTTACTCATTACTTCATTTGAAAAGTAACTTCACTACTTATTACTTTACTTTCCTGTTTTTTGATCTACCGTTCAGATACATGCACAAACTTCATAGCGCCATAACTTTGTGTTTATTGAATAAATGTATACAAAATACATTATACATACATGTAACACCATACGAAAGAACAGTGCCTCATAAATTATCAATTTAATTATCTTCCTTAACCTGGGAGATTCTATTGTGAGCAGTGGAAGCATTTCTTCTACGATGAACCCTGCAGCCAGTCTTGTTATTTCTTGATGTGTTTACCTGCTTCTGTGCTCCGATGGTTGAGAAAAGCTTGGCTTATTTAGTAGGGGTCGGCTGCTGATCAACTCCCTCGGTTTGCCGGAGAGTTTTGTACTGGCATGAACGTTAGTCAAATGTTTGGCGAGGTTGCTCATAGACTTTGCAGAAGTTGAAAGCTGTCTGTCGCCGGGACATATGGTGCATTTTACTCTTATATTTTTGTCCTTACGAGCAACAAATTCAAAATAGTGACTATATCGCCAGTTTCACCACTTAGCAAAGCGGCTCTCACTCTCCGTGTCCGTCGCCATTTTCCCTCTTCCCGCGCAGGCGCGCACCACGCAACTCTATCACTATGGCAACGCTCTGGCGTCACACACAGAGGCAGGCAGCGCGTCCGCATGCAGGCACCGCTAACGGATCAAAACTATTCACATTGGCAAACAGAGCTTGGGTAACGCAGGAAATCGCCCTACTTGTAACGCCCTACTTTACTCCGTTACCCCAAAAAGTAATATCGTTATGTAATTCAGTTACTTTGTAACGCGTTACCCCCAACACTGGCACAGATTAAAAACAGTGCAAGGAGTGAAGGCATAGGATGCAAACAACAAAGTAACTAGGACATAGACAGGTTATAAATATACAATGAGTAGGGAAAGGTCAAAACATTTACAAATTGTCATAAATAGAACAAAGACTAATCATCAACCAGAGATAGAGACGATGTAAGTGTACATAAAAAGGAAAGAAACATGATCATAACAGATAATGACGTGTTGAAGACATGATTAGATGATTTTCAATGATATTTTAAAGGATTTGAAGGATAATTTTGATTTTATATTTATAGTTTCGGTCCTCTAAAAGTGGGCGGTTCAGTGGTGTAGTGGTTAGCACTGTCGCCTCAGTGCAAGAAGGTCCTGGGTTCGAATCCCGGTTCAGGGTGTTACTGTGTTGAGTTTGCATGTTCTCCCCGTGTCTGTGTCTGCGTAGGTTTACTACTGGTACTCCGGCTTCCTCCCACATCTCAAATTGCCCGTAGTTGTGAGTGTGAGCGTTGATGGTTGTTCGTCTCTATATGTCAGCCCTGCGATGAACTGGCGACTTGTCCAGGGTGTACCCTGCCTTCGCCCAAAGTTGCTGGGATACACTCCTGCGACCTTGCGACCCCGGGAATGAGAATAAGTGGTAGGAAATGGATGGATGGTTGGATAGTCCTCTAAAAGTGATATTAGACTGATAACAACAAGAAGAATAAAAGAAACCCTGAAAAATTGGCATTACAGCCTAAATACTTTAATTTTCTCTAAATTTGATATCAGTGTTTTTTGGCCTTTTTGACTTTGACTTGGAATTCATTTTTCTTCCATCAAGCTTCCCAACAAGGTCTGTAAAAGCTGCTAAAAAAGAAATACTTGCAATCAAAGAGAACAAGTTATTGTCTCATTTGCTCTGTATGTGATTCATGTGATTCACAGCAAAACCTCCAGACTTTTGGGAGTTCATACACGGCTCTCAGAAGGACCCCCAGAGAGAGGATAAAGAAGAGGCAAAGACAGCAAAATGGAGAGACTGAGAAACAGGGGTGGGGGTGAGTGGGATGACCTGCCTCCCAGATCAAAGATGAGCTCAGGTCATAACTCAGCTCGGCAGAATGACGTACCTCTGTCTTGTCTGACACCTTTAAAACCAGCTCCACATGGGTAAAGGGCACGGCCTTCATGAGCCCAGATCCTGTCTGCTGTCACATCCCTGGAAACATGTCCCGGGCTCATGCTCGGCCTTCCTGCTGTTACATCGACCTCGTGCGTGGAAACAACCGATCGTGAGGATAGAAGTGAGATGGAGAGGTGCTGAGAGATAAAAAACAGTCAGGAGGGAGAAAAGAAAGGAAGAAACAGAGTAAAACAGAGAGAAGAGGCCAAATGTATGGATGTGTGGTGATTCACTCGTCTTTGATCTGACACCGAGGGCTGCAGACGTGTGAGGGAAGTTATGGAGAGATGATTTGTTAGAGGCCGCGATGAGTGGAATTTTACAGTCCATGTGCCTGCCAGGATCGCTTACCTTTGACTTGAACCCCTCCAAAGACTTGTGCAGCTCACCCCAAATGATCTTGGCAAAAGGATCTAAGGGAAAGGGGGCCTGTGTGCAAGCGTATGCATATGTCTGCTTATGCATGTGCGTTTCTGTATGTGCTTTAAACCCATGTACTGTATGCATTATCACCTGGTTATTGTGTACATCAGTGGATCTACTTCTGCCTTCATGTATATCCATTTGTATGCATGTGTGTATTTCAGACAGTGATACATGATGAATAGAAGATGTTCTGCAGAGGAATCACCCAGATGGTTCTCATTGCATTGGAAACAGTGTCTATTAGCAGCAGTGCGATCGCTTTCAGAGCTACTTAGAGCCTTGCTATCTCCATAAGGGCAACTTTTTCTGTGTGTACATTCCTAACAGACCCCCAGTGATGGAAAGTAATAAAGTAAATGTACTTGAGTACTGTAAATAAGTACTTTTTTGAGTATCTTTTTGTGGGAAACATACTTCATTTTCTTCAAATTTTAGACTTTTATGCTCCCAAGTCTTGATCAAAATTATGTTTCTTTCCTAAAATCTGATCTGCAAGACAAACAATTATGTGTATGTATGTTTATATATGTTGCATGTCTCAATGTCACTCATATCTGACACTTCATTTGGTGGTGGTAATGATGGTTACAGCAGAAGGGGATGATAATTTTCAACGTAAGCCTTTATGACCATATCTGAAGTCCACATTTGAGGTTTGGGAAATAAAGAATGAGATCGTGTTTGAGTGTTTGCTCTGTTTGTCATGTACAAAATGAATTATTCTAAAAGAGAATGTAAAGGTAATAGCGAAACAATGTCTTTCTATCCAAAATGAACATTTTAAAACAAGTTACCTGTGATAGTAGTAATTGAGCTGATATGTTTTAGGACAAAACAATTTAAAAAGAGTAAGTTATGTCATCTCGACTGCACTCTGTCTTTGTGAAAATACAATTATTTAGATTATTGTGAAAAGGAGATTGAATACTTGAATACTTTCTAAAAACAAATCCTTGAAGTAACAATTTGACCAAGCAACTTCCACATATGTTGGCTAATAATGTTCGACTGGGAGTGTCTATACTTTGACTTAAGTAATAAAAATTGTACTTCGTCCACCACTAACCCGACGGGTCCTAAAATTTGTACCTCACTCTACATACATTTCTATTTTCAGATCATACAACTGCTCTTTAACAGTAAAAACAAAGTACTTTTCCAACAGGGAAATAAAACGTCCTGGACTGAAACATGGCGGTTTCGTGCCAAAGGTGCGGTGGTACCTTCTGGAAAATTATACTATCCTTTAGAAGCAGAGACCCCATGGGAACAAAAACTATTCAAAACACTCAAAATGATTTATTTTCTTAATAAAAATACCAACATCAAAACTTCATCTAAGCTCCTGTTCCTTTGAATCTGGTAATATTTTTTTTTTTTTGAAGGTGCGAAACATAAGAGAATAGAAAAACATTGAAAACAGCTTTCTTCTGACTTATCCCCGTCCGTTCCACGTTTGAGGAGAAACAAAAGCTATGTCTGTTTTATTGCGCCATTCTTTTCCAGTAAGTTGTTAAAATGTGACTCACATGTCGGTTCTGAAGAAGAATTTGCACGTCAGACCCGATGGCGACATGAATTCAGCTTTGAATGAATTCAAGATATGTTTGAAAAACATCACAGCCTTTGAGTAAGAAAGAAACCGACTCATGACTTACAAAGAACAATGGGCTCAATCAGAACTTATTAAACATTGTTTTCCTCTGTCTAAAAATAGTTTTATTTGTTTGAGGTCTTCTTCAGCTGTTTTAGAGTCTCTAAGGACACAGAAACAGACTTTTACATTCGAGCTGCACAAAAACAGGCATTTTATATTATCGGTCAGTGTTTCTAATAAGAGCCTGTGTTTCACTGAGACCTCTACAGTGAATGAAACAACAGGCAATATCAGTGAGAGCTACATGTTGGGCCATAAAACCATAGGCACCTCCACTCATAGAGTCATTCGCCAGTAACTATGAGTAACGCCAAGAGCCCATTCATTCATACATCCACACTTCTCCATTCTGCAGCTCCGGGGCTGATGACAAGGTGTTTCTGAAATCGCATTAGGGGCCCTTTCATAAAGGTTTCATTGGGGAGTGTGTAACAGCTTGAAGCATTTAAGCTTTGTTTAATACGATGCAGACTCGCTGCTCCATGCTTTGTCTCCTGTGTGGAAAAGAGGCCCGGGATGCCAGAGACCCCCACTGTCAGAGTCCGCTTTGATATCTGAAGGTGGAGGGGGAAATAGGGCAGGATAACACCCCCCTATCCTGAAACACACCCACCCCCTCAGCCAAAACCTGTACGCTCATACCTGCCTCTGCCCCGCTGCCCTGTAGAGTTATGACCATGTAGAGAACCAGGCGGGCTTTGAAGTGCAGCTCTGAGAGGCTTTGGGAGATGTGCTTGTAGAGAAGAAATCGTGATATACAGAGCTCGGTCTACTTCAGACACATGCTGTATCTGTTAGATAAGGTCACCTGGTTCCAAAACACTCACTTTTCATCAACATAAAGCTGAAAAATAAAACTGAAATGATATATATCACAGTAAACTAGATGCATTTTTAAAAAGGCTTTGAAGAAAGCAACACACTGTTTTTAGTGTGTTTTAACTAGAAGCACTTGACGTTCAGTCTGCAGCTCTTGGAACATTACACTCACACTATTCACAGCAGAGGAGATAAAAGTACTGAATTATGGTGGGAAACAAAGTCCCTGATTAGAATAAAATACTGATTCAGAGTCCTCACTGAAGCCCCCATGCAGGAGGACATTAGTACAGGCTGTTTATATGCAAAGCTGGCAAAACCATATGAAATACATAGAATAAGTCTCAAAGATGCTGACTCAGGCCTTTTTTGACTGCCTTCTTTCATACTTTAATTGTATCAATCTATAACTTACCGGGATTTAAAACCAAGACCTTCGTGCTTTTTAGCAAATGTGCTTCTCATTACACCACTGTGCCACACATGTCAGGGTAGATTTTTAAAATCATATAGTGATGTGATATTTTTGCGATACTATGCTATGAACCTTTTCTTATACTAAGATGTGATATTGATATCATTCTGTACTATGACATTTTTCTCATCCAAAAAAAATGTTTTTTTTTCTTACTAAAGTTAAAAAATTTTAACATACTATACTATGACAGTTTTATTATACTATACTATGACATTTTTTTAATACTAAAATATAATTTTTCTTTTATACTATACTTTGACATCATAATCATAATATATTATGACATATTTTACTAAAATATGAGATTTCTTTTCATGCTCAAATTCGAAATTTTTAACAAAATATATTATGACATATTTATCATATGATACTAGGGCATTTTTTTCATAGGTAAATATGATTATTTTTAATACAAAAATTTGAATTTAACAAACTTAACTATGAAATTTTATCACATAATAATATGACATTTTTTTCATACTAAAATCTGATTTTTTTCATACTATACTATGACATTTTGATCATACTAAACTATGACATTTTTATTATACTAACATATGATTTAGTTTCATACTTAAATTTGAAATTTTTTAACTTAATTAACTATGACATTTTTATCATATTCTACTATGACTTTTTTCATATTGAAATATAATTTTTTTGGTCAAAAAATTTGAATTCAACAAAAAAAACTTTGACATTTTATCATATCTAAAATGTAAAATTGATATTGAACTATACTATGACATTTGTTTCAGACAATACTTTAATGTTTTTATCATACTGTACTATAATTTTTTTCATGAGTAAATTTGAAATTTTTATCATACTATACTATGACATTTTCATCATACTATACTATGATGCAGTGGCGATTGCTCTAAGACTGCAAGGGAAGCTCGGCTTCCCTTAAAATGTCACCCCCCAAAAAAAAGAAAAAGTGGTGAAATACGTACGGCTGTGTGTACATTTCATTAACTAAATACGCACTAGAAAGCCTTCATCTTTTGTTCAGAGACTGTGATAAGAAGCTGATAATTACAGGTAACCGGCATAACTTCGTTCTCATTCATCCTCGCAGCGCCTCAGCGCTTTAAACAGCCGGACGCTGGGCTTCTGCTGACTTCAACGTGGAAGCTAAAAGTGGGTTGTTCCAGCAGCGAAACTAGACGCTCATTGGATAAATGCTGGGCTTTGTCCCGCCCATCGGAAGCCCAGCTTCACTGGAGTTCTATGGCGAGAACGCCGTCCCGACTTTCTCCCGGACTCCAAGCTTCTCCATCCATGATTGGATGAGCTGTCTGAGGCGAAATCCTTTTTTGATTGACAGCTAAACAAGCGAATCAGCGATCTTGAAGAATAAAACCTCTACCAGAGCATTTTCCAAGTTATTCATTCCGTTGTTCTTAACTGCTCCGGAGACTTTACCGATCCTCAGCGACTTCTGTCTTTGTTAAAAACGACTGCCGTTGTGTTTGGCGACTCCGTTCTGTTACATACTAATAAACAAATACAATTATGATGTAGGCCAGAAAAATGAGCTTCCCCTCCTTGAAAGACCAGCAGCCGCCACTGCTATGATGTTTTTACCATAGTATACTATAACTTTTACACAAAAAATTGAAATTTTTATCATAGTATCCAATTACATTTTTTTCCACACTAAAATGTGACATTTTTTAAAATAAATATTTGAATTTTTTTTCGCATAGGATACTATGACATTTTTACCAGGATTTGAACCCAGGTGTTTAACACTGCAAGGCAAATGTGCTACCCATGACACTATCATTCCACCCTGATGACAGCAGTTTCTTTCCTATCATAATATAATATGATGTTTTTGCCAAACTATTCAATGACATTTTTTTCAATCTAAAATGTGAAATTGATATCATACTATACTATGACATTTTTATCAGACTATACTTTAATGTTTTTATCATACTGTGCTATAATTTTTTCATGATAAAATTTGAAATTTTTATCATACTATACTATGACATTTTTATCATACTATACTATGATGTTTTTACTATAGTATACTATAACTTTTACACTCAAAATTGAAATTTTTATCATAGTATAATAAGTCATTTTTTTTTCTATACTAAAATGTGACATTTTTTTCAAACGAAAATTTGATTTTTTTTCGCATAGTATACTATGACATTTTTACCGGGATTTGAACCCAGGTCTTTGACAGTGCAAGGCGAATGTGCTACCCATTACACTATCATTCCACCCTGAACGCAGTAATTTCTTCCCTTTCATAGTATAATATGATGTTTTTGCCAAACTATATGACATTATAGACTTATTATAGATTATAGATAACAGACTATACTTTGATGTTTTTATCATACTATACTATGATTTTTGTCATACTAGAATTTCAAATTATTATCATACTATACTATGACTTTTTTATCATTCTATACTATGATGTATTTACCATAGTATACTATAACTTTTACACTAAAAATTAAACTTTTTATCATAGTATACTATGACATTTGTATAACACTATACTAGGACATTTTTCTCATACTAAAATGTGATTTTTTTTCATACTAAAATTTGAAACTTATCATACTATACAATGACATTTTTGTCTGACTATACTTTGATATGTTTATCATACTATAATATGCTTTTTTTCCACACTAAAATTGGAAATTTTTATCATAGTATTCTATAACATTTTTATTATATACTACCATGGCATTTTCTTATGCTTCAATTTTTCAATCTATACCTTACTGGGTTTTGAACCAAGGACTCTTTCACTGCAAGGCTAACGTGCTACCCATCACACTATTATTCGATACATTTAACATCAGTTTTATTCCTTATAATTATATAATATGATATTTATAACATTTTTTTAGACTAAAATGTGAAAGTCATATAACAGTTTACTATGACATTTTTATCATACTATACTCTGATGTTTTTATCATACATAACTATTACTTTTTTCACACTCAAAATTAAAATTTTTATCGTAGTATATTATGACATTTTTATCAGACTGAACTTTGATGTTTTTATCATACTATACTATGATTTTTTTTCACACTAAATTTCTTCCATACAATACTATGATATTTGAAATATACTTTAATATTAATAATTTTTGTTCATGTTAAAATATGAAATTTTTGTCATAGTATACTTTGGCATTTTTATCATACTATACTATCAGATTCTCATTTTACTATATATGACTTTTTGATACTAAAATTTAAAATTTTTATCATACTATAGTATGATATTTTTATCATGATATACCATGACTGTTTATTTGAAATTTGATCATACTATTATATAATTTTAATAATAAGTTGGAATTTCTTTCAATGTACACTATTACATTTTTATCACACTATACTATGATATATTTATCAGAATATTCTATGATTTTTTTTATACCAAAATTTGAAATGTTTATCATACTATACTTTGATATTTTTATCAAACCATACTGTGACTTTTTTCATGCTAAAATTTGAATTTTTTTTATCTTTGTATACTATGACATTGTTATCATATTATACTATCATTTTTATATCATACTATACCATGACATGTTATCATACAATACTATATTAATTTACAAAATGTATAACTCATCATCTTAATATAATCAAAGCAGGTGCTTCGACTCTTCATATGTGCAAATAAAGGAATTAGCAGACTGTATTTTGTAGCAGGTTGTGAACACGGTAGATTCTGCTGTCAGAGGATCCAGTGGGATGTCTTTGACTTTTGACGTCTGCCTCCAGTGGACACCTATGGAAATGCAGGTGTTTTGTACTCCTGCATTGAGTTTATGCTTGGTTAAAACTCACATACAATTTTGCAGAAAATAGACCCTGATGATTGGTGTTACTGTCTGGTTGTGAGCTCCCTCACCCATTCTTTTACATTGTTTATGCCACTGTACTTATTGTGTACCCACCAACACCACCAATTTATTTAAACAAAAGAAAAAAAATGTCCTTACAAATACCCTAAAACCCCTTTTCAGCTCCAAGTATTTGCAAAGCTCTTCTCATATTTGGATCAAACCATCAACCCCTTTGATTAATGGCAAAGTGCCCCACCACCAGTTACATATTTATACATGTATACACAGTTTGATTGGTAGGTGGTGCAGACTGGTGCGATGTTTATTTTATCACTCTTGTCCAGTAAGAGTCTCGAACCAACCTCGAGTTCAACCCGCGCTCAACTCAAATGCACTTCATTGACTTGACAGTTACAAAAAACAGTGTTGCCAGAGCAATTATGCTGGCTATAACACAATTATATTCATTACACATGTAGTACTTCCAGAATCTGAACTTTAACCAGGCCTGAAATGAGAGAGATGGAGCGGGGGGAGGGTAGGAGGCGGGTCCTGTTCATGGGGTCAGAGTAAATTTGCCGAACAAATGACAGAGAGACTGTGCACTCTGGTGCTGATGAGGCAGCCTCCTGCACAAATAACGCAGCGTAATTACTGCTGCACTTGTGACCCTGGTGCCAAGGTTAGCATGACTGCAGGCCCAGGTTCACAGCCAGGTGGCCCAACAAGGCTGAGCTATGGGGGGGGGTTAGACTCAGCTCAGGCAGGTTGGTGGGTGGGGGGGCTGGGCAAACAGTGGTGGTGTTTGTTCTGCTGATTGGACTGAGAGGAAAAGGGTGAAGATCAGCGGATGTCAACACAGGGGAGGCATTTACAGTCCACTGTCACCCCCCTCAATGTCACCTGTGTCACCAACACCGAGCCAAGAGAGACCGGACTGTTAGTTTAGACTGAAGCTGAGGGACTATGGGGAACCAGAATTACAACCTCAGTTCAACAAAAGTTAGGATGTCATAAAATACTAATCAAAATCAATTAATCTTGTTTACAAATCTATCAAACTCCATATTAATTCAAGATAGGGCATTGAAAAAATAGAGCTAAAAACATGGAACAGGCTAATGTTTGATGTGCCGCATTACCTCTACACTCGAGGACACGTTTGTGAACCAAGGAGCCTGGTTTCAGGGATCTTGTAAGTTACACTTTAAAACAGGATTTCAGCTGCTCAACAGTTTGGGATTCTTTTGGTCATATTTGTCATTTCATGATGTGACAAATGCTTTTAACGAGGGCAAGATGTGACTACAGGCAGGCCAGTTTAGCACCATGCTCTTTAATGCAGAATTTGGTTTGGGATCATCATGCTAAAATATGCAAGGCCATTGTCTGGGTGGTAGTCATATTTGTTCTGGCAAAACTTACATATATTTTATAACTTTGGTGAAGATTTTGTGCAAAAGAAAATTAAAACTGAGTCACTGAGTGTAATGTATGAGGTGCATAGTCCACAAAAATGCTAAAACCCTTTTTTTTATCACGACAGGGAATAATCAAGAAATACACTAAAAAGGTTTAAAAAGGAAGTGTAGTCGGAGTATGCAAAAAGTACTTAAGATTGATAACATCAAATCAAAATGCAAAGAAAGTATTTTAATAGTAATAATAATAACTTTATTTGTATAGCATTTTTAAAAAACAGAGGTTACAAAGTGTGTTGACATGTAGTCAAAGAGCACACGGAAAAAGACAGAAAGCAAAAAGCTCAGTAAAAACAGAATTGAAGGCCATTTTCATGTCATAAGAAACCCAGACAATACAAGAACCATGCAACATAAAATGAGACCATGAGGACCAAAATATGAACATAAAACAGTTAAGAAAAAAGGAAAATGCAATTAAAAGGGGGGTCAAAAGTGGAAACAGGATAGTAGATATAAAAGGCAATATCAACAATGATAATAAAATAATAACAGGTAATACTGATAGTAATAGTAATGATAAAATAGAGCAACAGAAATGAGCAGGAGACAAAACAGTAAAAGGCCTAAAAGGTTAATTAAGAAAAGAGTACAAGTATTAAAAAAACAAAAACAAAAAAAAAAACAGTAAGGCCGAAATAAGATAGAAGTAAAACAGATAAGAGATGACAGATAAAAGATAAAAGACGATAAAAGATAAAAAAAACTTTACGATAAAAAACTTAAACTTCATTTGCTTCTAATCTTTTGGTTTCTATCTTAAAATAGGTGTAAATAGGTGCCGTGGTATTTGTGTGTCTTTTGACTTCCCGTTATGCTGACTCTCTAAACTCGCATTGGTAGCACCTCAGCCCCCAAAAGCTGACTGTTTATTTCCCTCACTGAGGCGTGTTTACTCTGACCACCAGGAGGGCTGCACCTCTAATCCAAAGGGGAAGTCATTGAATGTTCCTGTGCTCATCTGAGAAGGCACCCCCCCTGTTGTTACAGGCCCCCGAAGAGAGGCCCCTGAGACCAGTTTAGAGACGACAGCGTTTCCCTCTCACACGCTCAGATCTGAGTTATTAGCTCTGAGGCTGACAGCGTGGTCTTCTGAAGAGGAGCTGTAATGAGAAAAACAGGTGAGCTATTTAACAGGACTTTCACAGCTATTAAAGTGCCAACACACCCCGGTTACCATGGTGATGAGTGAGGGCGTGTGTGAGGCTTCTGGAGTGTCAGCAGTTTTCTATTTTTATATAAGGAATGTGGATTTTTTTTTAAAAGTCTGTTTTATGAATTAACAAATGTATTAAGGCCCGAAATCAGCTGCTGGTGTGAAAACTCTTACTGCCTGTTTTTGCAAATTTAAACATACATTTTTTACTTTTATGTGCATAAATGTGTTGCAATAAGACAGTTTCATATTCATCCATTCATTCAGTCATTATAACATCCCGCTTCCCCATCACCCACACATCAGATCACATCAAATCTGTTCCCCTCTCTGCTCCGCCAGTTTACTTCTTCAGCATGTATCATTGCAACTCTCCACCAGTCATCTCCATCTCCCCATGTGTGACCAAATTACATTTTTCTGATGTCCACTCTTCATCACATCCTGCATCTGTTCGCCAGCACCGTGGCGGGGGAGTTATCCTTTTGAACATATGAAAACATCCAAACACTAAACATGTTACTCATTCTGAATCTTGTAGACTAAATAATCGTTCACTTGAATCAAAGTCCCTCCTGATTAAAAACAATAGCGCTGTTCTTCACTTGTTACTGCTGCTTATTGTGCAAACCAACCTTCAGTCTTGAGAATTAAAGCTAAACCTGCAGTTCTTCAAGTGTCCACAAGAGGCTGACTGCAAAAGCACAAGACACCACATACACAACCATTCAGTTGAGATCCACACAGGTTTTTTCCTGTGCATGTGTAAATAGAAACACAACAAAGTCTCAAGACATGAATTGAGATTATTTCGGAGAGGATTGAAGATTCAATGATCTGTCTGTAATTTAGGATATTTAAAAACTGACAGCAAACTCCTGCTGTCAATCTGTCAAAAAACACATTTATTAGGAGTAGCTTAGTTGTCTGAGTCCCGTCATGTCCTGAAAGTTTGACAGTTCGCAGGAGTGAGCTTGCATTATCTTGTAAATACATTTCTATGATGTTTCCAATCCGTTTTATTTATATAGCACATTTTAATAAACACCAAAGTGCTGCACAGTAAAATAAAGAACAACCACTGCAGAAAACATAAAGAGGAAATAAATAAAAGCAGGTTAAAACATTTTTTTTAAATGAAATAAAATAAATGAAACAAAAACACAAAAGCATAAAAGAAATAAAAATGAAAAGGACCATAAAAGAAATAAAAGGACAGATATTACACAACTCTCATGCTGAACAAAAAGCCAAGGAATAAAAATTAGTTTTAAGACGTGATTTAAAAGTGGAAAGATTGGGGGATGTTTTAATCTTGAGTGACAATTCGTTCTACAATTTGGGAGCCACAGCCGAGAAAGCTCGGTCTCAGACTTTACGGAACGTAGGGGGTATAAACATTTAAGAGGTCAGAGCTGTACTGTGGTGCTGATCTGTTTAGAGATTCAAAAACAAACAATAAAATTTTAAAATGAATTCTAATATTAGCGAGAAGCCAATGGTGGGACTCCAGAATTGAATTGATGTTTAGTGTCTAAAAAGAAAGAAATCTGAGTCTGCTGTGACACTGACAAAATACCAGATTTTGGCAGAAACCAACCAGAGTTTAGGTCTAAAATCAGATTTTTAACAGGGGCCAATGCCATCTCAGGCCAGGTTTCTGGACGCCCCTGTTGCCACTCGCTCATTCAGATAGATGTAAAGGTAAAAATGGTTAAAATAATCTTTTGAGCTGACACTTTCACAGAAGTTTGAAGTGGCTGTTTCTTACAGAAGTAAGCCAGTATTTAAAAGACTCAGAAATAAATGCTTTAAATATGCAAAAACTGTATCAAATTAATGTATTCTTTGAAAAAAAACATACTGTGCATTTTGTTTAGTCTAAACCTGAAGCCAGACGACTAAATGACATCAAATTTATGGTATCTAACAAACACGTCACATTCAGACCGTGTTACACCGTCCTAATATGACATATTTTTTACCTTCAGTCCAGGCTGTTTCACATCTCCTCTATCTAAATCACTGCATTGTTTATCAGGATGTGATCCACTAATTATATTTACAAGTCCCAGGCCCAGACTCCAACGTTAACCTAACATGATAAACACACCTGCCGCCCCATGGCCAAACAGGCTCGCTGTGTTTGTCAGTATAAGACTGTTGGATGTTATATCAATAAACTACCTCAGCGCACGAAAAAGAGGCCTGATGCAGCCCACAGACTGGAATAAATCTTACTCACGCTGGCCTTCAAAACTCCCTCTCAGCTGAGTCATATCTCATCTGTTCGGTTCACAGCTTCATTTTTGAGGTCAAGGTCTCAGAAGAGGCCAAAGATAGTTAATCATGTTATAGTGACCAAAAATAAGTGAATTAAATTATGTTTTTGTCACTTTTATATCTTAATTGATAATAAATCTTGTTGGTTATTGATAATAATCCAAAAGTTCCTCCCATGCAGCTCCAGGTTCGATCAAAAACACTGAGAACATCTGTGTGATTTTACCTCTGAGGGCATCCAGCCAACCAACACCACTAGGGGGACTCAGGTGTCCCTGAGCATGACATGATCATACACAATGAGGTGTTTCCTACTCCAAGAGAAACAACACCTCTTAGTAACCATCTTGTTTTTCACTCTGTTTAGCATATCCAGCTTCTTACGTAACTCTAAGTCTCATGTGTGTATCAGCAGATAACAGGTGTGCAGAATAAGTCATAGCAACACGTAAAGGGATTTCAGCTGCTCATCAGTTTGGGGGTCACCTCTGCCCAACTGTTTTCAATGGGTGGCAAGTTTGGACTGTATCTGGACTCTTCTTCTGCAAAACCAGTTCTTTTGTGAGGACTGCAGAGAGTGGTTTGGTGTTGTCTTGCAAGGTCTTCCCTAGAAAAAAAAAACGGCCCTAAAAGATGTGTAAACCACTCATGGCAGGAGCACTTGATGTAGATGTTGGCATTTTTAGTTTTTGAATTAGGCTGATAAACTGGGTGATCGCTCTCCTCTTTACACTGGGGGAGCAATCAATCAATCCATTTTTATTTATACAGTGCAAATTCACAAGTATAATTGCAAGACTATTAACCATACCCCATTAACAAAGACTGAAAGTAAATATGGGATAAGATTGAGCCCTATCTCGTAAGATCAGACCCATTCTCATCCGATTTGCCGCATTTCTTAAGTTACAGTGGAGAGGAAAAACTTCCTTCAACAGGCAGAAACCTCGAGAAGAACCAGACTGATGTTAAACAGTCATTTGCTGCTTCATCTGCAGCAGCCAGGGGAACCTACAGCATGATGGAGCTTAGGGACTTCCAGAAGAGACTGAGTATTAGTGACTCTAATGGGATATGAGGATTTAAAGTTAGTGACACAGACACAAAAGAGTTTACACCAGGCAGATTTTGATTCATAAGATTACAGGACAGTTTTCCACTTCACTACAGTCCTTCTTAAATGATCCGTGGCCCAGAGATGTCAGAAGAAATACATGTTTATGTTTTCATGATCGATTTTAACCTCCACTTTGAGAGCAATGAGAAACTGTGTTCACAGATGATGGTTTTGAAAGGGAATTTGAGGTCATGCTGTGATTTCCACTACAGAGTCGTGTCTGATTTCCCAAAGAATACATCCAATGGTGGTTATTGGGCTTGTGTCCTCGATGTACAGAGATTTTTCCAGATTCTTAGAGTGTTTTCATGATTCTTAAATTCAATAGGAACATATATTTTATTAATCTATAAAATGTATTGTTTTTGCATTATTTTTAATTGGTTCAAATGATTTGTAAACCATCAACTTCGGTTTTTATCAACATTTCCAGGCTCTTTGTCATGCATTTGGGCACAGAAGTAGTTTAGATGCTGAGTTAACTATTATGTGAAGTTGCATTATAAGGAAAATGACACATCAGCTTAATATAAAACAGCTTTTTTATGTGCAGTTCACTAAAATCAAAAACACCACAGGGCCGGCTTAATTACAAAACATTACAAAATCAGTTTGTACAAATACATACCCAAGAAATCATGTTATTATAAATAAGAAATAATTCAAATAAATAAAGGAATAGATAAATAAATATGTAAATAAATAAATAAATAACAAAGCAGATGATAGAGGGTCCACATGAAACAAACAACACTGCCATGTTTGGCAGCTGACATGCTAGAGCACACTTCCCTGATCAGCGCGCCCATTGTCTCATTTACATGATCAAGGCTCTTTTTAACACATCGACTCGCAGACTAATGAGCGCCGGTCCAGAAAACACTTCAGCGCTGCGTGCAGAAGTATGAGCCCTTAGGAAGTCCATTCAATCCCGTGCCAGTGTGCCCCCCTCTCTCGAGGACAAGTGCCATCCATGTGGGCAAACAATGCCAACCCTCTGTCTGTCCCCCAGCTCTGAAAACAACGGCTCTCCATTACCAGTCGACAATAAATTAGAATATTAAAAGCCACGGACGACGCAGGAGTGAGAGGATTGAGAAAGCCTGAGGTGTGCGACCCGGTGAGAAGTCTGCAGATGTCGATCGGTGGGTTCTGCCACGCCTGTCTTTGACATGTAGAGAGACGAACCTGAACTCAAACACTGGGGGTGCCCCATGAGCCGCAGTTAATCCCACTTTATCCAAGAGAGACGGGCTGTCAGATCTGAGGGCGCAGAGGGAGACAAAAGCAGAACAAACACATAAGTTTTAATACATTTTAATGACTGTTTAACAAGTTCAGGGTCTGGAGCTGAAGGACGGGGGCGCACTTAACGCTGAAAAGCCACGTAAAGAGGCTTCAGATCAGATTCCCACAGAATTAGTTAAACACAAGGAGGTGGAGAACATACAGGTGATTGGGCTTTAGTAACATGAGCGTACGCAGGAGAAGAACACCTCAATTAAACAATGTTAACAATGGTGTGTGTTTAAAATCCCTACAATGGGATTACTGCGAACAACAACAGACAATTCTTGATTAATTTGATTTAGATGGAGCATTAAAAGTCTCTTAAGTCTTAATGTTAAAAAGACGTAGAAAAAGAAGAGTGTGTGGCAGATGGCGATCCACCTCTGCTCTTGGTTTCTGTCCATTCAAAGACAGATTTCTTTCGCTGCTATCACCGAATGCTTTCTCACGGTGGATTAATGTCAGGCCTCTGAAATGATATAAAAAGCACTTTGCAGACCTGAGCTAATTTGGCCGTAGAGAATTTGGACAGCTATCGTGTCAACATGTTACAGCTTATTACTGATAAAGAAAGTGAAATTTGCTGTTATTGAGTATCTTTTTGTGCACTTTTAGTACTTCTACTTTTGATTCAGTGTTTGCTGCTTTAAGTTTTCTACTTTGTGATTATTTTAGACGACTTCAATTACTGAATAAAGTTAAGTTTAAAACATACAAGCTCTCCTGCAATTGCATGCAAATCAGCAGATCTGATGATGTCTCCACTGCAAAAATCTTAAATCTTACCAAGTGAATTTGGTCAAAGTACCCCGTGACACATAATTAAAGCTACATTATACACATGACAAGCCCAAACATAAATCTTATTTTAAGATATTTGAAGCTGAAACTCCAGCTAAAATTTCCCTGAGATAAGTACTGTACTGATGTGTGGATGAGAGGAAGGTTAAGTTTTCTTTTAGGATGGTATATTTCATTATTTAAAGTTTTTTTTAGTAGGCCGTATTATATTGTTTTTATACTATGTGCTTTTACACTTATTGTTTTTATATTTACTGTTCTTATATTTATTGCTTTTGTTGCAAACTGGGAAGAGCATCCTAAACTAATTTTGTTATAACTTGGTGTACAATGACAATAAAGTCTAAATCTGAATCTGAAACAGTTTTAAGAAAATGATCAATAAAACTTTGCTTGCAAGGCCAACCTTGATATGAGGGTGTAGGGATATCTGCAAAGTGCAATACTAACCAAAAAAAATGCTTTTACATAATTTAAGGAGGGCACCAAGTACTCAGAACTTAGAGTTATTTTTGTGTCAAACTTTTAACTTTCATTCAAGTAGATTAGGTTTGATAGTTTTACTTCTACTTCAGTAAAACGCCATCAAAGTAATTCCACTTTTAGGTAAAATACTTTAGTTCTCCTTGCACCTGTTTAAATCATAAAACATCTGCCTTGTACATTTTCCTAAATATTTCTAATATGTCTAAATATTTTGCAGAAACCTGGACAAGTTCAGGTTTTTATAATCGTGGTAAACAGTTGATGTAAATATAATTAATTTGGCCTGATGTGACTTTACAGGTTTCTTGGGGCTAACTGTGTGTCTGAGCTCACCGCTTGTGTTCCAGATGGCGTTGGTTCGGTTCTTGTAGCCGCTCTTCATGCACTCATCCACGTAGGATTTGGGGTCGCAGCCTGACATGAGGATCTCTCTCAGCAGGGCGATGTAAGCGATGGCCAGTCTCAGCGTGTCGATCTTGGACAGACGCTTCTCGTAGGGAAACGTTGGCACGTGGCAGCGCAGCTCCTCGAAGGCAGAATTGATGCTCAGCATCCTCTTCCTCTCCCGGATGTTGGCGGCGTGTCGCTGCACCTTGTAGGGCTGATGGGACACCAGCCGCCGCGCCCTGCGCTTGGCCACGTCTAGAGATTCATCCATGGAGGAGCTCACGCCCTCGGCGCAGATGCTCGCCCCCGGGGAACCCACGTCCAGGTCGGTGAAGGTCAGCTGTGCGTCCGGGAACATGGACTGACTGCCAAAAGAGGACCAGGGAGAGAGCTGGCCTGATGCCGCGTTGTAGTCCAGAAGGAAGGTGTCCATCTGGGTTTGAAACTGGATGTTTTGGTCCATCTGTCCCCAAAACGCAAAATCGGTGGTGCCATCCTGATCAAAATCAAAAAGCATATCCTCCATGTTTGCTATACGCACTAAACAAGTTTTTGTGTGTGTGTGCTTCTTTTCTTTCCTTTTTGAACGCTCTGTTCAGGTTTTTACTTTAAGTTTCAGGCAGGAAAATAAGTTTGAAGACTGATCAAGTTTTGTTTTTAGCGTGTCAAAGATCTGATGAGTGTCTGTCGCTGTATGTGCCTGAATCTCCCTCTCTCTTCCTCTCTGTGACAGCAGCGTGGGCACATCTCCTGGATTAAATACTTCCAGGGCCTCCATGTTTCTCGGCGGGTCGCCCCGGCCTTTTCTAAAGGCTGAAAGGGAGCTCTTAAGAACACTTTACCCCTCCTTGTGGATCGCTCATTGCTTTAAAAACGCATTACAAAGAAATCAGTTGATCCCTAACGACAAAAAGCGGGGGGAAACACGTGTCCAATTATAAACTTCCCCACAAGTAGTCACGCTAATATTGACAAAAAACACTCAGTGCTCGGCAGTCATTGGAGGAGTCCTGCAGAGCTTTAGGACGCAGCAGGCCGTGCAAACCCGGTGGCCCCTGAAAGAAATTGTATTAGTTATTAAAGCTCAGCTGATTAACACTGACAGAAACACATGAAAGCTCTTTGTTGGTTCAAAATCTAACGAGATCTTAATGAAAAGGGAGCATTCTTGTTCTGCCTTTGGGGATTAATCTGGTCTAGACATATTTTTACGCACTGAAGTTAGACACCAAACAGGCCTACAAGATGTAAAATATCCCAGCAGCATCACCACAGCTTGTCCCACATAATGTGAGTCCAGTAGCCACATTAATAAGCTCCTAATTTGTAAATAATATGACTGACTAACTGGAAAACCAGAGAGGGGACGCGCGCTGTAATTACGCTGGGGTTAATCAAATGAGCGCGCAGTCTTTATTGGAGGTTGGATGGAGGGCAGTTTGGGGATGAACTTTAATTCAACAAGGCTGTATGTTTGCGAACACGTGCTGCTGGTTTGTCAAAGTCCTTCAGGATGTTAATTTAGAGGGAATCTGTTGGTGAGAGTAAACACGGGCTGGTAGGAGGCCCTTTTTGGACGCAGCAGCTGTTTTCACCACAAGAACTAACACTGAGACAGGTGACAGTTAAGCCTCACAGATTATTTTGATTCACATTAAATGGTGTCGAAATGGTCGACCCGGAACATTTCATGGTTATGCAATTATTCCCTTTAACCCTGATCACACAATAAGAAGTCCCAGGAGGCAAACACGCGTAATAAGGCGTTTTGAATAAATTGTTGCAGATGTGATGTCTTATGAAAATGAAATAAAGATGAGGATTGCACAAAGACAATAAGAAATTAAGAAAAGCCTTTTTTTCCTCCTCAGTGGGTTTGATTTCCCTGCAGGGATTTCTCACTGTTTGTTTCATGAAATACATCAAAGTTGCAGCTATTTTCCAAAAGGATTGTGTTACACTGGTTTTAATGAACGGACACTGTTCTTTTTAAAGCATTTCCCATCCTGCTGCTGCTGCTTAATCATTCAATGAAACTGACACGCAGGAAAATTAAAGTCAAACATCCTGATTAAGGGGTTCACTGTTCTTGTGCCAATCTTGTTTCAACTCGAATGCAATAAAGAATAAAAAGTTCGCAGTGTTGATGGAGCTTAGCAAGAAATTGTGTTCATGATTTTGGGTTTATGGCGCAGAAAGTTCACTTTTTAAAACGATTCCCAACCTCCTGCTTTTACCACATTTGGAGGGGTGTAGATTATGAAACATGTTGTGTTTAAAAGTTTTAGAAATGGTTATTAAAGTGTTCACTTATTGAATAAAAACAGACACACAAACTTAGTCCTCCTGCCAAAGATTTCAGCGTGACATCGAATCACAAAAATATTTAAAAATCACTTAATTTAGGGAGTAAATGTTTAAAAAATGTGCTTTCTAAAGGTAAAACTCACTGCGCAATACACATGAATTCCCATTTTTATTACAATAATTGTGTTTTGACTCATGTATGTCACTTTCAGAAACAGAAATTATTTCATTCCTCAAAAATGATAATCCAGTTTCAGTCTGGATGTTTTACGCACGGACATGTTTTACAGCTCATCATGCGTAATTTGGCACAGCTCTGCGCGTTTGTTATACAAGCGTCTCGATGACAGCTGAGGTAGACACAGCTTGCATTGAGAGCTTCAGACCCTGTCAGGACCTTCTGCCAGCCTGCCAGCCGCATCTCTCTCCCAGCTGACGCTCCCAGATCCGTTTGATCCGGACTGAAGAGACGCGCCTGTCAGATTCAGATCCACTCTATTGTTTTTCACAATTCATGAGAGCCGAGGAGTACAAACGATAGAAACCTTTCAAAAATGTTCAATGAAAAGAGGGAATAGGCGATAAAGAGGCTGGAAGACTTTGCTGATGTAGGGGAGACCGGGGCTTGTTGTCACACTTTTTACACTCTTATATATTTCTTGGAATCAGTACATCATATATGAACAAAATGTTTATCACATGAAAGACCAAAGTCTCAGGTATATATTTTGTATTCATGTCATTTTCATATCTTGTGTCCCTGCAGAGTTATAAGCAATCAAACAGAGAGTGTGAACATGTGACATGTTGCCCCATCATTGGGTAAGTTGTCTCACTATATGGGGTAAGATGTCACAGTGGATTTGCAGCTAATTAAACAAAGACAAAATTATAGTTGTTCTCATTTTTTTACATGAAAGTGAACTTAAAAGTCAGGCACAGAAAATGTTTATCATTGAGAAAGAAAAAGTCGTTGAACAAACGTTAACATAAAATGTTTCACAACATGCTCTGGAGTTTGGAGAGCTGTCTGACTGTATTTAGGCTGGGGTAAATGTTTTGCAGTACCGAGCAAAGGTATGGTAGTTAACATTAAAGTCCTTTATTTTTGTCCAGATTGATTTATTAGCTATAGGGTCACCTGCCTGACTGCCGTCAGCATCACGTCAGGTACTGCTCTGCCACGTTCAGTTTTTCTTTTGTAATTCCTGACCATGTCTTCTCACTTTCTCCTCTCCTTTAATCCACTCTGTTCTCTGTAAAAGTAAAGTCAAAATTTCAATATGACAACTGCTGATAAACAGACTCTGTGTTAATTTTAATCCCTTTTAAAAATGTGAGAACTAACCCCAAAATGACTGAGACATGTTGCCCCAAACAACCATGTCTGCTAATTAAAGCTCTAGATTAAAGTTAGTTTAAAACAGAACAATGACTGAGGTATGACAGGATGCTATAACCTCTCCTCTAATAAGTCCACATGTATCAGTGCTAGGATTTTCATCCAGAAGAAGCTTAATTTAAAATATATAAGGTTAATTTTCTTTACTTTGGGTTATGCAAAATAGAGATGGACAGAGCAGTTTTTTTTAGATGTACTGAATCAGTAGAATCAGTTCACTAAAAAGATTCATTCATCAAATCAACGAATCATTCAGTGCTTGGCGGGAGGAGCCTGTGACTCCGACCTCCTGAACTGATACACAGCTGATCGGTTCAGGATTCAGTTCAGTTCATAGCCTCTGGGACGGGGAGACGAGCTCAACTGTACTGAGAAACGAACAAATCACTTGAGGAAGTGATTCGGTTCAGTACGTTCGCTTAAAAGACTCGGTTCTTTTTCTTCTTATTGGCGCTCATCTCAGCTCACGATGTGCTCTTCTCTTCTCAAACAGGACACAACCTCTGACCATGTAAAGGAAGAAAACTAGTATTCCACTTTTTAGTTGCGCCCCCTGGTGGTAAAGATGACAACAACTTAGCCATGTGACAACAAGCCCCGGTCTCCCCTAGTTTGTGGTGTAGAATATAAAGTTTAGCTTTTATGCCTCCCAATTGAGACGTGAAATCTGTTCTAGGCTTATAAACAATTATAAGAGTCTCGATTCAATCGTGTGTGAAACTTTATTTCATCGACATGCAGGCTGACATTACTTATTCCACGCGTGCAGCAGCCCACAGCACCGGACAGCGCGTAAATCGGCCCTGGACGCAGCGCCTGGCCACATGCTCATAATTAAGGCTGCGGTTTGAAGCTGTTTCCCACCTGGATGTTTCTCCGTGGAAAACAAGGAAGTTAATGAAGCTGCGAATCAAACGCACAACAGATTTGATCCCCAACTGCTCTTTCATGTCCTGTACATCATGACATAATATTATGGTGTTTAATCAGGGACATATTTGAGGAATTAGAGAGGACAATGTTTGCTCACACAGGGCTTGTGTCATTTCCTACAAATCAAAAAACTGTGTAACCGAACTTCAGAATCTGAGCCAAAATGTATTGTAACAATCCAAACATGGCTTTCAGCCTTTAAAGTCCTCTTTTCCTTTCTTCCTCCTCTCCTTCATCCCCTCCTCATCCTTCTTTCTTTTAAATACGCACAGCCAGAGACGTACAGTCAAAGCAAACACCAGATAGTCCAAAAATCCATGAATGCAACATTAAAAAAGAAACATAACAATGAACATCTCGCAGTTCTGCACAGTGACGCACGTCTTGTTTGTTTGGGTATGGCTCTGATAAACATCTCGGTGCTGAAGGCCTCTGGGATCAGTCTTGGCTGCTATGAGAGAGTGGCATTGCAGCCAAGTGTAATCTTCAGCCCTGGCCACAAACAGCTCTTTGATCCACGCTGGGACTAAACCATTAGAGTGTCACGGCACATTGAAGCGATAGCTCACAGCAGAAGTTGGCCTTGACCGCAGATTAAGGATGCAGATTGCCCCGGGCCTTTACCTTTAAAGGTAGAGTACAATCAGCATTAATACGGGGCCAGCTTCAAAGAGCGTGCCAGTCAGCTGAATGAGAATAATGCAGGAAATGCCTGAGTGCATGCAAATCTCTCCTGCATGTGAAGAATGTGCAGATTTGGGGGTAAGAGTCACATCCTCTGAAGTGTTACTGCGTCTTCTGCTCTGCTGTTACTTGAACGACGTGTAACACAGACAAACTCAGGTACTTCTAGAAAACCTGCCCATGAAATAACTCCAGTCCTGATCCTTAAAGTTAAGTAGCAGCTCACTGGCTCTGGGCCCATTCCTGTCTGCATTTCAGTCCCAGCTCAGGTCTGGAAAAAGCATCACAGTCATAAAATAGGCCTTAAGCAAACACCCCTCTGGGGGCACCACCCCTCTCTCTGGAGCAGCGAGCGCCTGAGGCTGGATCAGAGTCCCCCGCCTGATAAAAACACATCAGATCTGCACAATGGGTGTGTATACACAGCATGATAACAGGTGGTATTTAGATAATGTGGCTCTTTAAGTGTGCACGTGTGTACAACACATCATAAGCCTCCCCTTTAGCCCAGTATTTTATTCATTAATCCCAATCTGTGCATCCAGAATGAGACTTTGGTAGCGTCTCTTTGGGGTGTATGAAAGGCCACAGAGCTCATCTATAGGAATGATGTGTGGATTAAAATCCTTGTTTAAATACCAAACTGTCATCTGACCGCAAAACACTGTACACCTTATTTTAGGTAGAACCATAAAAATGCCATTTTGAACTCACATTATGAGAAACAACGAGAAAATACCTGCAGAGTTAAGTAGACAGCATTATTGTGTATGATCATTTTACCAAGGTAGGGGCAACTACTCCATGTTTTGATTTCATTAATAATCATCTTGTAAAAGCTGACCATCTAAAAGTTTAGTTACATGTGAGTTTATCCGAATATTTATAATGTGGAGCAAACACAAGCGAGAATCAAAGAATAATCTGTTAAAATCTCAGAAACCTTTTCTCATAGGATTCTGTGGATGCTGACGTGGATGTGCACGACTTTATCTGCTTCAACTATGAAGTCTTACTGTAGGAGCCAAATATGTTGATGTGATACCATATCATGAGTTGCAATTTACTTTGTGTGCCTTAGTTGTCGCTGTCCTGTTATCTGGGGCTCAGGAATAAAGGCAGCCATGTCACTGTTGTGG